GTTTGAGGAAAAAAATACAATAAGGATCATATGTAAAAAAACATAGGGGAGACCATGATGATTCCATGTGCACCAAAAAATTTGCCTAAAATTGAATTATATAGCAATGTAAAACACAGCTGTACAAGATCAAAACTGTGAACAAGTTTCCAAATCTAATAAATCAAAAGAATGTCTCCGTAATTGGAAAATTAATCACAAGTTACAAAACTCCAGAATGGGACTAAAACCTCCACTACAATATACGTGGAGGAAAATTTTAAAAAAAAAGGACAAAAATTATACTAGTAAAAAAAAATAAACATAAAATTAGGTATATTTTTGGTTTGCCTATGTCTTAACGTCTTTTTAACGCTTTCCTGAGCATATATTAGTGATATCTATAGTACTTAATTAAAGCAGCAAACAAAAAGGGCATGTGTTAGCACCACAATGAAAATTTTCTCGTCAAAAGTCATTTTTAGTACAAAATTATTTTTGACACGTGGCACTCTAACTAATCAGAAAAAAATAGAATAGATAAATACATAAATCCCTTAATTATAGCTACATAAAAATATTTTAATTATAAGTATATACTAATCACTTAAAATAATAATATTTAGTTAATAAAATCAAATGTAAGAAAATTCCCTTAAATTAAGTGAAACACCAGTAATGTCTTCCTAATACCCAATTTCAAAGAATTTTTTCCATTCCGCTCCTCTCTCACACCCGGGCATTTAAATCAGTTACTTAAAATCTGACATCAATTATCAATCCATCTCTTTCTACAACAGAGAAAAATAAGTTGTCATTAAAGAAATTTGATTTTTTAAGGATGTTTTTTTTATTCTTCTGTTGTATTGGTCTATGATTTATGTAAACCCGGGCATAAATTTACTGTTATAAATTAAATGTTGTAAATCGGGACATATATTTATGTGTAATAACTCACTTTATGTCCTTTAAATCGATTTTTTATTCTTCTAATTTTTTTTATTCTTTTAAGAATAATTCGTATTTTTTAATTAATCAATTTAAAAATACAGGCGACATTCCGGGCATTCGCCCGGGCAAGCATCTAGTTATCTTTTATTCAAGGAGTCCAATCACTCAAATTAATGGGAAGAAGATAACGCTTCTTTTTGAGGTTTTGTAAGAGAAAGATCGGTTTAGGATCTGATAAGACTAATAATAGTTTTATATAATTCTAATTAATTCTGCCTTTTTCTTAACTATAGTACTTGGTTTTACCAACCGACATGGGTTGATTTTACAAAATGAAACGTACGTGTAGCTTATGATCCATGTGATTCCCCACGCATGATTCATTTGATCGTTCCTCTGTTTTATATGATTGCGACAAGAAAATAACTGAAATATTAAAAATCGTCATAAATTAATGATGTTGGCAACTTTTGTATACTTGTTCTATTCAATAAAAATTGTTCCCATCGTCATTTTATTTATTGTACTATTTGATTTTTGAAAATGCACATTATGCTGTTTGAATTATATTAAAGAGAATACATTTTACAATTTATTATATGAATTATTTTTATGAAATGAATAGAATATCTTCGAACTAGGATTAGGTGGCTCCTTAGTTGAAGTACTAGCTAATTGTTGGAGCGGGCGTGCGAACCTGAAATTGTAGATCCTAGGTTTACTTTTGGAAGAATAGTATCCTTTTGTGATTTTCAATAGTATGATCGTAAGTAATACTATAAGTGCATCAAAAATCGAGTAATTTTAGGACAAAATAATTCTGAATTTCTGAAAAAAATAAAAGGATGTAATTCAATAAGACAAACGAAAAGAGCAAAAATGCTTGTTTCCAGCTAGAAGGCAGATACTCCAAAAAAAATAATTGTATTTGTTTGGACGTCAACTTATTTTACATTTTCACTCATTTTATCTCTTAAACTCAAAACCCAATGGAAAATAAAACATTATCCAAACAACTTTCTGAATTACTTTTTAAATTCCAACTTGAAACACTTTTTGTTAGTGTATTGACCATTTTAGAACTACAAATAGTTCAGTGACAAATTTGGCGGGATTCCGTTGTTGAGTGATTGTTTTTGGAAAAGTTCTTTTTTGCAGTGACTATAATTGACAGTATTTAATTATTTAGTGATAACTCATACTTGATATTTCAAAATGTAATTCAAAATACTTGTTTTCAAAACCAACATCCAAACAACTTTTTGCTCAAAATACCATCCAAACAACATTTTTATTTCCCATTTAGTTTTCAATTTAAAACACTTTCCACTTTTAAGTGACAAAATGAAATATAAGTTGACGTCCAAATAAGTACAAGTAACCCCACCTCCCTCTCTGCCGCCTCTCTCTCCCTCTCCCCCTCAAACCCTAAAAAAAAAAAAATCAATCTTCCCCCATCTTTCCGCCATGGAAAGATGGGGGAAATAATTTTACAAATATCTTTCAACCTTTTTATTGTGTTTTAATTTAATTTTAATAAATGGTTTGTAAGTTATTATCTACAGTATGGCGGCAACATCTTTATCGATGTTTGCAAGTATGACGACAGCATCATTGTTGATGTTTGCTAGTATAGCGGCGGTTTCGTCGGTGATGTATGCATATACGACGGCAACGGCTTCATTGAAGGTGTTCGTCGGTTTGACAGGCATGGTCCAAGAAGATTCAGTCATAGTAAATCTAATTATTATTAGATTTACGATTTGGGGGTTTTAATTGAAAGTTAGTGTTGTATCTTTGATCGATTAAAAATCTGACACGTAGTACAACCATTATTCCATGGGGTAGATCAGGATAGATTTATCCATGTAGCGAAACACAATAATGACATTATGACTATTTGTAAGTTGTGTTTTTATGGCTGTATTTTGCTTTTATCAAACACTGCTAGACGAGATCTAGCAAATTAATGAATTTATCTTTATTTATCAGAGAAAAGCTAGAAGGCAGGGACTTTTATATAAAGAGGAACTAATGATGTGAGTTAATATTATTTACGATAAACAGGTTAGCTAATAACGATGTATTGGAACAAATCATAAAATCCCTGGAAAGTGGAAAGTGGTCTTGTGGGGAAATCCAGAGGTGACCCTGTTCAATTCCGGAAAGAGTCATAGAAACATGAAGTCTTCCCCAATAGTTTTTTATTTTAAGAAAAAAATAAAAGTTGAGCAATAACAACACATACACTAAAATTTAGCTGGCCCGATGTGGAGAGATAAAAAAACAGTATATTCAGTTAGCAGCAAAAGAAGTTAACCTATAGACTATAGTCCATAGGCACAGTTGGTCCAACTCACAAGTGGCTAGAGTTCACTTTCTGTCAATTCCATCTTTCTTCCAATAACTTATACTCCTTCCGTCTTATAATTGTTTTCCTATTTGAATTTTTATTTTTATTTTAAATTATACTAAAAGTGAAATCTTAAATTGAAAACTAATTTTGAAAAAGAGAGAGTACAATTAGTTTTCTTTGTTGATTCCACCCTCTACTTCTTTGTATTATGAAATTTGTATTATATCATAGTGTAAACTATCAACTTAAGAAACACTTTCGTTTGAATCTCAAAAGAACAAAAAAATTTGAAGTCTAAATTTATATATGTCCTAAACTTTCCGAACGCTACAACCATGGTGTTTTTTCATATAAATTTAGTGGGACATACATTGTAATTACTAACATACAAAAATATTTTTAACAGAATAATATGTGAAAAATTATAGTCAATGTTCAAAATGTACAGAAAATAGTCGACAGAAATATTGACTACGTTTTAGGATTTCTCGCAATGAGATGACTTATTTTGAATGATATTTACAATCAATTATTATTTTTAAATATTTTAAAAAATTTCTAATTTTCTCCTCTTAAAAAAATATTCCCATCACTCATAAAAACAGAATTTAAACCAAAAAAAAAAAAAGAAGAAAAGAATAGAAACATTGTCTATGATTTATTTTTCATGTTAAAAAAAAATAAAATGAATGTGTTATTCAAAATTGTAAAAGTTTGAGTAAATAAGAGTTGAGAAGAATCTCCCCACTTGATAATGATCAATGTTATTGGGGTGGATAAAGTGATCAATTTCCATAATCTTTTCCATTATCTTCATCTGTGCTTGTTTGATATGGCAATTTTGATGCTATAAATAACAAAAGAAATTACACACGCACGTGCACGCGCGCACACACACACACATATATATATATATATATATATTCTAAAATGGTTATCTATTTTTTATTTTCATTTTTAGTATATATATATTTGTGTGTTATTTGTGTGGCCCCTCTAATAGCAAAAGTTTTAAGCTTTTCCTATAATTTGTTCATATTACTTCCTCCATCTTGAAATGGTTGTTTAATTAAAGATTTCAGTTTACTGCATGTTATACTAAAAATGAAAATCCAAACCGACAATAAGTTTGAGACAAAGAATATTTATTTTGTCGCTATTCTTCCGAAAAAATATTTTATTTGAAGTACGTACTAATGAAAATGAATGTGTTGGTAGATATAGGACAAAATGTTCACAACACGTTTAGAATTGATTGATTATGGGGGGTCCTTTGAGTTTATGGTAGATAGATCTTCAAAGTAATTAATTTTCATTCATCTCAAATCCATCCATATTTTCCAGCTACGGTTGGTGTTTATAGACACAAAAATGGTGCCAACAAAAGGATCACTTTAAAAAAATTTAAAATCGAGAGTTTTCAGAAAAACTAAAGTCCCAAATTGCAAATCCGTTGAACTTGTTCCCGCCATCCCGCGCCAAATGAGCTTCCAATTCGTTTAATTTTCACCTCCAATTTTCATTCATTCTTAAATTCTGACTACAAAATCTACACTTACCCGCCATGGAACTGTACTGATTCTACTGAAAGCTCCCAAAAGATTCTTAAAAGTTTAAACAAATGATTTTTTATTTTTTTTCTTTTAACTCTCAATATATCCCTCCAAATCTTCAAGAACAATATTATACCTATATAAATCCTCCCAGGTTGAAACTTGAAACTCACCCAAATCCAATATCAAACATTCCTCCCTTCCTTTTCATAAATCCCAACACAAACAATATATATACAGTCTGAACTTTTCTTTTCCCATAAATTAAGCCATTAAAATGGAGGCCATTGTGTCGCAGATTGAGCTTAGCAACAAGGAGAACAGAGTACCATACAAGACCCAATGTTGCTCAAACAATAACTTCCTTTCTGTTGGAATTGGAAAGGCTAAATTTTCGAACCCAATTGTGGGAAGAAGAAGATGGCCACTTCAAGACATAACTCAATTGTTCATCAATGTACAGTCACGGCAGCCACCATTCCGATTCAACGCTGATGGGTTTTGCTCTGGTTTTCAAGTTCAGAACTCTGTTTTGTCTGTTGGGCATTGTCGGAAAAGAAAGAGGGATGCTGTTAATTATTATGGGATTGATTCCACGAGGAAAGACGCCGGCAAGATTCTCAGACATGGGTTTCGATGATTTTCTCTTATTTTCTGGATTTCTTTCGTAGGTAGCGTCTGGTGTATACAATAATACAATAGCCATGAAGGAGAAGCTCTAAATGACATTACTTTGTCTAATCAGTTCGATTTACTGGAATAAGTTTACTTTTTTTGTAAGCAAAATAACAGTTTCAAGAGTCAAGACTTGCATTTTCGTTTCTTGATTTTTCTCTATTTAATTCGATTGTTACTTCAACCCCCTGGGGAAAGTCACTGGAAATATAATTCTTTTCTTAAACATACACGTACTATACTACTCCCTCTGTCCTATAATTATTGTCCAGTTTTATTAAAATGAAAGATTTTATTTTTAGTCAAACTTAACTATATTTTACCTTAAATATCCAGATATACCTCTACATAAGTAAATGTTTAACCACTAAAATTTTATGGATAATGTTTTTTACTAAGGACAAATGTGTAACTTGATCCATAAAAAGTCAAATTGGACAATAATTTTACGACAAAATTTTTTGTGCAAAGTGGACAATAATTATGGGATGGACCCTCCGTCCCATAATTATTATCCAGTTTTATTAAAATGAAAGATTTTATTTTTGGTCAAACTTAACTATATTTTACTTTAAACAACCGGATATATCCCTACATAGTAATTGTTTAACCACTAAGATTTTATGAAAAATTTTTTACCTAAGGACAAATGTGTAACTTGAGTCAAATTGGACAATAATTTTGGGACAAAATTTTTTGGGCAAAGTGGACAATAATTATGGGACGGAGGGAGTATTATTTTACTTCTTCCTTTGGAATACAATAACATACCCATTACATTTCTAACTTTGTTCCGAGAAGACATATCAGTGATAATATTCTCATTGCTCACAAATTGATACAATACATCCCGGAACTAGAAAGGAAGTGTAGGGCTTGCAGCTGTGAAGTTGAATATGAATAAAGCGTACGATCGCATCTCTTGGAGCTTTTTACAAGCAGTACTGACGAAGATGAACTTTTCCGACACAATGGTCAAGCTAATCATGAGTTGTGTTACCACTGTTTCTTTCTCAATAAAATTTAATGGGATATAAAAGCCCACAGGGTTTCACTTCAAAACCAATTGGCTATGAGGAGAGTAATTCATAGTCTTATATATTGATATCAAATCTGTCCCACCATCGATGTGGGATACTCAACACTCTCCCGTAAGCCCAACGTATCTTCTTCGTTTGGGGTTGTCTATTTTTTTTCAGCCCAATCATCGCCTCACGTCTCAGTGGGATACTCAACACTCCCCCGCAAGCCCAACGTATCTTCTTCGTTTGGGTTTGTCTATTTTTTTCAGCCCAATCATCACCTCACGTCTCAGCCCTACCAGTTCTATCACATCAGGCTTGGAGTCCGACTCTTGGTGGGCTAGCTCTAATACCATATAGAAGCCCATGGGATTCCACCTCAAAACCAATTGACAATGAGAGAAGTAGTCCATAACTTTATATATTGATATCAAGTCTGTGCTACCACCAATGTGGAATACTCAACATGGGAGAGCATGCAATCATTCAGATCATGTAGAGGTTTGCGACAAGGTGCCCTTTATCTCCTTATTTATTTATTATTTGTTAGCAAGTACTGTCAGTGTTTCTAAAATTTGAAGCTCAAAGGGTAGTGGGTTAGAAATTTTAATTGGTAATCAGGCACCAAGACTAATGCACTTGATGTATGTATGCTGATGATAGTTTCTTTTTCTTGGAATGTCATGAACACCCCCATCAGAGCTTTGGCAAGAACAGTGAATCACTATGCCAAATTTTCGGGTCAACAGATCAACTTTGAAAAATCTACCATTTTATTGAGCCCAAATACTGCAGCAGCTTGGGGCTAGTACTTGCACCTCACGCGCAACATCCCACCAGGACGGTCTCAAGGTCATTATCTTGCTATGATTTAGACTTTACTCAACCAAAAAAGAAGCTTTTTTATTCTTTTGTAAGCAAGCTCAATAACAAATTTGGCGATTGCCAAATCCACTTTATCTTCCTTGCTAGCATATCCGATGGGGGTTTTCAAGTTACCTTGCTCGCTGCTTGATAAGGTAGATCAGATCATAGCTCACTTCATTTGGAAAGGGGATAATCCAGACCGAGCCGTTCATTGGAAGGCATGGCACAAGATGGCTTCTTCTAAATTGCATGGCGGCCTTGGTCTTCGAACTTCAAGGGAATTGAATCAGGCTTTGTTAGCCAAACATTCCTGGAAAATACTCACACGTCCTACATCACTGTTGGCAAGGGTGTTTTTAGGGAAATATTGCCAAGACAAAGGGCTGATGGAATTCAATGACTCAAAAAATGTTACTTGGGGATTCAAGGGTATCTTGTGGAGTTGTGCTTTATTGCGTGGAAGCCTCCAGTGGAAGGTTATCTCTGGTAAAAACATTCGTATTCATGACAACTGGATTCCGTTTCACACGAATCCAATTCAGCAAACCTCTGTCCTAACCACCCACGTGAACCTCAAAGTGGAACATCTCATTTCCCCAGAGGGGAGGTGGTGAACTTCTTGTTTGTATGCTCTTTTTTCCCAGAGATATTGTTGCACTGATTGAGGGTATTTATATTGATCCCCAGAGAAAGGATGAGTCGGATCGCCTGTGTTGACAAGGTACAGCAACTCTGTTAAATCGGGCTATTATAAAGCATGGAACCAGAGATTTCACCCACCTAGTCAGGGAGTGGAATCAGAGAAGGCATTCTGGAAGTTGTTATGGAGTTTAACTGCCAGACAAGTAACTTGGTAGCGTGCAATGGTTAATGCGTTGCCAACAAAGAAAGAAGTGTTCAATTTCAGACATGTGTCCTCGCTGTCTACAGGCACAGGAAGATGTTGCTCACTTCTCCTTAGGCTGCGAGCAATCAAGAGGCTTGTGGAGAATTTCCTCCCTCAGTTTCATTTTTTAATCCCGAATCTCCAGCAAATTTTTCGGAGTGGTATTTAGCATGGATCAAAACTACACCATCACAGGAGGACATCAAAATGTCTGTGCATGTGCTGTGGCGTATTTGGAAGATGAGGAATCAGAAGGTATGGAGACATCAGTTCATGGATCCACAGTTCAGTTGGATTTTGGTTCAAGAAGATTACAAGCTGCACGAGCATCTCTTTGGTAAGACTCGGTTACATATAGGCCCATAATGCAGAGGTAACCACTGGTGGTTTAGAGCTGCAAGATGAAGAAGCAGACATTATGTTTGACGGCTCCTTTAATTTAGGAGTGCAACTTGTAAAGCTAGTGCAGCCGGGAAAATTACGACGCACCAAGGGGTAGTTTTACAGTTGAAGGCTATACGGGTCCATGCTCTAACTCCATTGCAAACAGAGATGATGGCTTCCCCTACATGTTCTACAAGAAGCCCTGGAGATGGGATTGCAAAAGGTGAAGGTGTTTACAGATTGTAGTGCTTTAGCATCGGAAGTCTTGCATGAATTAGATTTTCCAATTGAGTGTCAGGTTCTAGGTGCTAGGTTACTACAAATTAAAAATAGATTTAAAGTGTGTTGTATCATTAAGGTTGAGAGGGAGAGAGTAGCACAAGTCCACTATCTAGCATTTCAATATGCTCTTATGTAACCTTGGTTTGCTATTAATAAAATTTTCAGTTTCATCGAAAAAAAAACTCTGTTGGAATAATAATTCAATTTTAAAAATTAATATCTACACTAGATCTACATCATCTATAAAAATATTTATAAATTACTAAAAATAATACTATATTCCAAGTTTCTTATTATTTTTTCAATCTGAAAGATATTTTTTTTTATCAAATTTATATATTGTAAATTTGTAATTTTTAAAAATGGACTATTCAAATCAATTCCTTCAAACTAGTAATTCCTAGTCAACCTTCAGAGAAAGTAGTAGGGATATTATATCAAGTTGAGTTCATTAAAAAATTACTGAAACGAGAACCACTAAGTTATTAACCATGCAAGAATTCTAAAAACTTGTACTACTTTTTATTGATCTTTTTTTTAAGTACTTGTTTTTTGATCTTTTAGATCTAGCCTAGTATAGTTACACTCATTCAAAAAGTAAAAGGATAAAAATAAAAGAAAAGAAAAAACGGATCCAACTTTTTTAAATACATTAGAGAATGGTACAAAATGAAAATGAGAATTGAGAAGGGAAAATGAATTTTAAGGGGAAATGATATGATGTAGTACAAATGAAAACTACACCAATATCATTTATTAGCTGATTTCGAAAGAATGTTGTCAGTGATGTTCTTACATTTGTGACACAAAATTTTGTAAATTATTAAGTAGAACACAATGTTGTCAACAGAAATAAAATTCGAAATCGAATGTTATCCGAAATAAGATCATCTTTTTCTCTCTCTCTCTCTCTCTTTTTCTTTTTTTGCATTAATTCATTCGATCAATTTTATTTTTTTACATTGCTGGTATTTGGCCTTTAAGTGGTTTTTGTTCCTCGAATCGGCTGAAATTGCCCTTTTCCTTGAAAAGTTGGGAATGGTGGTGCCTGCAATACAGTTTCTGCTCATGAGCTATGAAATTTGAAGGGCTGATCATACAACCCCCTCGGCTACACTTAAAGCAAGCTTTGTGATACGATGTTCCATCAACTGCCACCTACAAAACATCAACAATAATATAGCAATTTAAAGATTTTCGAAAGAAGTAAGAGGTGTGTTAGACATTGCAAAAAAAAAAAAAAAGAAAAATCGATTCATTAAGAAGGAAGAAAATTTCAAAGGTATGATTTAGTGGTTTCCTATAGTAGATTCAAGTGATTTTAGAATGACAGATTAATTATAGACAATTATAGTTACTCTTCTTCTTCTTCTTTTTTTCTTTTGTATGTAAGTGGGTTTATCATGGGTAAATTTGATAAATTCAAAGTTTGGTGCCTAGACGTCAATGAAAAATACTCTTTTTTTCTTAAAATAATTGTTCTGTTTAAATTTTTACATTTAATAAAATTTATACCAAAAATAAAATTTCAAACTACAAAATTATTTTGGGACGAAAATAGTACTAAAATTAAATCAAACAGATTTATGTTGGACTTTTATGTGCAAATTCAGTGATACAAGAAATATGAACCTAACCTTTTCAAGTGGGTAAACAGTTTTTTTACATGCAACACATTTGTCTTGTGTCCCAGCAAACATGCTCAAGATTTTGCTATTTTTTGGACCCTGTTCACCATGAAAGAAACTAGATTAGAAAATGGGAGAAGACAAGTTACTCCCTTAGTCCCTTGCCTCATCCCGATAGTCCAGAGTATTGTATTATTTTTATTCAACAAATTAAGTCCGAAAAATGGGATGAAAAGAGTAATTAAAATAAAAATTTTAGAAGTAACCGAATGAATCTTATGACAAATTATTTACCTGGTTAGTCGATCTATCAACTCTAGAGATTTTTGGAGCACCTATGAAGTAAATATATAAGAACTATACTTCATTAGAATTTTAAAAATAAATAAATTGGAAGTTTTACTTCGATAAAACGAAAATTAAGAGCAGAGTTCTTACCATTTTCGAAGCTCTTATTTAAGCTGCCAGTCATCTTGAAAAGTTGATCAAAATGTGGTTTACAGTATAAAACCCCCTCAAAGGAAGAGAAATTACTCAACTGCAAGGAAACAAAAGGGGTCGACCTAATCTTAATTTTGCGATTTTCAAATTATTTGTCAAATGTGCACATTTTCTTGATCAAATCTCCATTAAGGACATAAGGAAACTAAAATGCAATTTATAAACCGGTCAAAGTTTCCAAGGTTTGTAGATATTAATGGTAATCTTCATTGTTCTTGTGTATTCTGAATTCAATTAGTTAGTTGGTTAAAAAAAGTAGGAATTTAAAAAAAGTTTTTTTTTAAAGAAAATTATTTGAGCAAGATACCAAATTGGTCCTTTTGTGCTCTTTTTTTTTTTTATTGTTATCCCTCATTTTGACAAATTTCAAGTTACTCGCAAACGTTGATCATCATTTGAACTGAAAAAGTTTAGGAAATTTGTCAACACTGTGTCTTCTTTCTCTATCATAAGAATTTATTTTGTCCACTTTATCAAACTGTTATTGTTGAAAAGACAAATGAATGGTAATAAGTAATATGACATGTTTTATCAAAGAAAATTGGAGCAGCAAAGTAAAATGAATGGAAACAAAAAAAAAAATTGTATTACGAGGGCCAGGTATTAGAATCATAACTGATACCTCCACTAGCTTTATTTCAAACCTTTCAATCCTGCCAACTGATTAAAACTAGCAGGAATGAGGTTCAAGAATTGTATAATCTAGCATATAATGCATGTCTTTGTAATACTTTAGGTATTTCTAGTTAATATACAGGTACCATTTTCATTCAAAAAAAAAAAAAAAAAAAGCCCTGATACCTCCGAGAGTAACTTCAAAATTTAGAAGTATTGCTATTAGTTTGAAGCTTCGTAACACTTTTGATCCTTGAAAGTAAGACATTTGAGGCGGGATTTCTCCGATGAGCAACAATGAGGCTAATTAGAAGTTCCTTTGAGACTATGAACATTGTGTTCCTTGATTTTATTGTCAACTTTCTCGTATAAACTATAACTTCTTTTCGTACTTACCCTTTTACTCCACTCATTAATACACTACACTAATAATGGGATTTCTTGTTGTAGGAGTACTAAAATAAGATGGAGGGATTTTAGGCTTGTTTTTGGCAGGGGAACCAAATCAAAGGACTTTTGTACTCGAGCTAGAATTCTATGTGGGAAGTTTCGGAGGATTGGTTATGGTTGCAGAAACAACCCAAGGACTACTTGAACTTTCAGGCATTTTATTTTGTTTTGTTCCTGAAGAAAAAAGTGGGTATTTTGTACAGCCCAATATGCTCTCAGGAACTGAATTTTATTTCCTGAAAAAACAGTCCAATTTATTATGTTTCCAACAGCAATATTATCAAAGTCATGGACCTTGGTGGTTACTTGCTTATGATCACCCCTTAGCACTTAGCATTTCTTTGTTTTATTAGTTACTATCTCATTTCTATATAAATTTTTATTAGAAGATTTAGTAAAGTGGCAGAGGTGATTGAAGAAAACACAAAACAGGAATTAACAAAGATTACATATGCGACCTGAAAACCATAAACTGATTAAGTTCAGTTTCAGAATGGAAAAAAAAAAAAAGAAAGAAAAGAAAATAGTCCTTGGATTTGAATTCAATTCTCTGTTTCCAAAACAGTACTCTAATAAAGATCATCCAAAGGGCTATAAACATGAAACACAAGAAAGAACAAACAGAGCGAACAAGAAACCAGAAAAACCTCAACCTATGGAAGCGAGAATCGGATAGGATTGTATGAAGATCAAAAGACTTACCTTGAGGGTGCCCTTGCAATGGTGGCATCTAAAACAAGCTTTGTGGTAGATTTTGTTATCTGCCTGAAGTTGATCCACCAAGTAAACAGTCTTCTCACAAGCCTTGCACTTCTGAGTAGTCCCTAAAAAACTTGCCATATTGATTTTCTCTAATCTACTGAAGATCACTTCAAAGATTCAAATGTTATTCTTCAACAATATGCTAGCTGTTTTCTTCTTTTTGAAAGGGTCTTTGGAGGACTTTTTAGTTCTTCTACTTGGGCATCCTATTATTAATTAGTGTGTTAGAAATTTGGTTTGCTACAGGTCAAAAGTCAGAGGCAGGCATTAAGGTGTCCCATGTGTATAACATTAATTTTGACTGGCTGGTATGATTGTGTTTTAGCTGTCCAAATTATCCAACAAGGTTTATTGCATTTCATGTGTATGTTCTTCTGTTGTCGTTTCTAAATACAATGTTCCTACCATGCTAATGGACAAATGTCCAGCAATGAAAAATGGCTATTCTTGAATCATGTTATGTACTTTTGGACCCGTAATTGTTGCACCAAGTGAGTATAAATTGTACACTTTCATGCAACACTCTGGAGAAGGGCCGCGTTTATATTAAGTTGAATAAGTTCGAAACTTGAATGTATATGCTTAAAACACATTACAAATACAAAATTCATAGGTCACCACCTGAAGAGGTAGTCAAACATCGGAAAAAATGTTCAAAAAAGTATTCACCTATTCCCAGAAAGATAATCTGCGTTAAGTTTTGAAATTTACACTAAAAATAGTACAAATCTCGACTCGATGTTGGATATTTTTCTGTGACATAGGTAGTATATCAATTTGATCCCTGTCTCCCTTGACAGAGGCATGTTGGAGGACAGGACCATCTTAGGAATTCATATCTGTTCTTCATGTAATTGACAGCTGTGTTAACACTATGTTTTGAACGGCACCGTCAAGGGTTTTTCTAGATCACTTTAGGGTTGAGTGCAGAAGCTCACTTATGAATCAAGAACCTTTCTAGTTTAAATCACTTCCGACCACGAAGCAAAGAGAAGCTACAGTAAACTATACTACAGCTTCCAATATACAAACCATACCAAAAGGAAAAAGGGTTTATACAATTACAAGGCAAAGAGAAAAGGGAAAAAGAGATGTTCGCAATGGCCCTCTTAAAATATAGAGCATTGCATAAAATTGCTTCTTTATTTTCATAATGTAAAGTAAGAGTCTTCGCCATGGGTCTCTTCAACTAAAACATCAAAGAACAATGAGAAAAGTGCATAATCACGCACTTTCTCTCGCCTGCTTTCGTGTTTCTTCTCGCGTCACGGCTCTGACATAGATCTCATAACAGCATCCTGGAAATACACGAGAAGAAGAGAACCAAGGGATGGAAAACAATGAGAACAAAATATGAGGTGCAAATTACCAGACCAATGAATGCTATGTTATACAATAATAGGAACTAAATATCATAATCCCTCTGCATTCAAAGTTGGCAATGAATGCAGACATTTCATTGATGCTTAATGGGTTGTACACAACTCACTGTGTAAATATCTTATAGTTTTGCAGCAATTATCTTTCAACTACGCCTTTCCGAGAACAGTGGTACTTCTCAATTCAGAAAATTGAAGAAATACTACCAAGTAAAGAAAAATGATATCCCATTAATCGACAAGTCATAACAAGAAATTACTCAACACAGTTTCCTATTATTTCATAATACTTTAGGTTCTCGTATAGGTTTTGAATTGTTTCACCAACCTAAAGGACACATATAGAAGATGAGAGGGGGGGAGGGGGAACAAGTAAACAACTCCTAGCCATGCATGGGTGGAGTAACATTTCAACTATATTTGAGTAAAAAGTGGCATTGACCTACTTTGAAAAGGATAGGCTTCCTTTAACATGACAACAGAAGTAATCGGGAGAAAAATAATCCTCCACACCAATCCTCGGAGTTGGTGAAAGATTTTTTAAGATGAAATTAGTTGCAGTGACCTTGCTAGCATTCATCTCAAAAGTTCAACTTGAAGGCAGTGATTCAAATAACAGTTTTCATTAAACAAAGCATCACATGGCATCCTAAACTTAAATCAAACAAGGTAGCAGCGAAAGACAAACAAGAGGTCAAGAAGCTTTTATGCAATTAAACAGAAGCATGAAAAAGGCCCAATTCCGATTTTGAATGACTTCCTAATCATCTCCACTCAGCAAATTAGAGACCAAACTCATGTTTGGGATAGAGGGAGTACATTTTATCATCTATAAAGATGACTAGGGAAAATCCCACCATTTAGTGATCACAAGTGTTCAGCTTCAGCCTCTCCAGTCCTTTTATTTTCTTAGAAAGGGTAGGGTGACAATGAGATAACACCAAACATTTTTTCAACCATTTATGCTTTGTAAGATTCAGATGTTGGCATATGAGAAGAATTGAAGGCTCTCTTGTTTGTAAAATAAATTTGATACACCTCTACGTGAAAGAAAGTTACAACAGTGGTAAATAGAAGAATGAGATATAACTTCTCATTATAGCACCTATTGTATGTCACACTGTATATTCCAAATGATTCACAACAAGCTTATTCACATAGAAACATGAGTACATTGGGAGTCTTAACAGTAACTAAACAGATGCATTTTTGCGTTGATCACTACAAAATGATGGGGAAAAAACAAATATGGCTACTAATGGCGATGTTTCAATTAGATCAAGCATAAAAGATGAATGACTTGAGCGAAAAGAAGCACAATATGGAAAATTAGTGTTCTGGTTCATCTCTGACCATATCCGAAAACTCACAAATGAACACACAGGCAAGGTGACACAATATCTACAATTCACAAGCATTCTAATTACTTAAAGGAGACAATTACTGCACTTCAAGAAAAATCAGGTTTTCGTATAGAAATTTCTGATGCCCAAATCAAAAGGGAAATTTGATGATGGTAGATAAATCAGTGAACACATAGGCAAGCTAACACAGTATCTACAATTCAGAAGCAGAAACTTCTTAAAGAAGACCATTACTACACTTCAAGATAATCAGTTTTTGGGATAGAAATTTCTGATGCCCAAATCAAAGGGGAAATTTGATGATGGTTGATAAATCGGTCAAGTGGACAAGCAGAAAAACAAGAGAGAACAAGTAAAAAAACCCGCCTAGCCCTTACCTAAATCATCACTTCATAGACAAGCAGTAATCAGATTGGTCCAGATCAGCATATCTTAAACAACATAAAAGTTTGATAACCAATGAGGTCATCTGGAAGATGGAGCGATTGCTTACCAGCAACAACTAGAATAGTGAGAGCATCACCAACTCTTTTGAGGCGGGAGACACTTTTCTTATGTGATTTGAAGGGCTTGAGTGCAGGGTCTTCAGCCAAGAGCTGCAAAATGACAAACCCGACAAAGATATTGAAAACGAACAACATATGCAAACAGAAAATTGAACAAAAATGTTTCATAGTTCTTTACTTAAATTGACAGACCATGAAACTATTCCAGAGCATCAGCAAATACAAATAAAAACAAATAAACAGTTTTGAGTTTAAGACCTCGCCTAAAGGCAGCTTCCGATTTCTTGAAGCCATACACAATAAGCAACCCCAGAACTTTGTTTAAAAACTTTTGAATTTGTATATTTTCATCAACGTAATCAGCAGAATGGAACATGTTTCATAGGAAAATTGACAATAGGTCATAGATGTTCACATAAGCCAACTTCAGTCTGTATCCATATCTTAGTGATCCAAATCCCCCATGCAACCAAGCAATTATTATATTTTCAGAGCTTTAACACGTCCACGTTGGATAAAAGCCTCACAACTAACAAGAATGTCTAGTCAAAATAAAATGAAAAATTAAAAAAATCAAGGAATGAATGGACAAGGAAATATTTGGCTATCACAACTTGACAAAACCATGGCTGCTTGGCTGTTGAGTGTCAACAAAGGGAAGTTCTAGTAATTAATTTCTAGTTCACAATAAACATTAAATGGGTGGCATCAGACTGTCAGATAACTTAAGAAGCTATTCAATTGCAAGAATTAAGCAATTTGGAACATCTGCTGCATTCACAGACTCCACGTTAAGCAATTTGGAACATAAGCAATTTGTTCTGCCTAATGAAAGTTAAAGGTTTGCATTGCAAAAAGACATAAAGAGATCTTTTAAGTTTAAGTAATTCGTTGATGTTTCAATTTCATGTTACTTCATTTCAAATATTTAATCCTTTGATGACAATTAGGAATGTTGATTGAGTGATATTTAGTCCTTTAACTATAACTAGATATTTAATTCTTTGAAGTTACCCACAAAGTTTACTTGTTTTACCACACATTTGTTTTCTTAACCACATTACAACCGCATAAAAAGTCCCTTTCACAATCCATTTAAACAGAATATGAGTGCTAGAGAGTTGACAGCATTGAAGTCCCTTCATTAAAGTCAAAATATCTTCTTCAAGATTGTCTTACACACTTTGGGTGAAAATGGGTGAATTTGATTACTTTTTTTTTTTTTTTTGACAATCAAAATGATGAATATCATTTAATATTGTGATTTACATTGAAGTGGGAATCTCAGTACTCGTGATTTGGCTGCCATAATTTATTCATGTTGATTTTGCCAAACGCAAATCCTACGTTATCATCAGAAAAAAGAGATCTCAACGAAAAACTATATGAGTGAGTAAAAATAAAAATTCGCATGAATATACTTTGGAACTTCCACCGAAAAAAGAAAGATCATGCAAAGGACCTGACCAAGTGGTATTCACATCAGTTGAAAATTAAGCCCGATCAAACTCCTGATAATATAGGGGCACATTGTTGAAGCAAAGGTAGCAAAGGCAGTTAGAGTGGCTACAAACTTTGTTTTGCTTTCTAAATGAGCACTATCTATGCATATCTCAGTCGGAATATGTCCACACAAAGCAAACTAGTAGAACTAAGAGGGTTAAGCAATCAACAGAAATAAATAAAACTTTCAGCTAAAAACCAATCCAATGGAAAAACAGTACCTTATTTGAGAAGCAGACAATTATTACAAACAAAACGAACTCAAGTGACTACTGTAGTTGGAGATTAGCTGGTCTTTTTTCTGGACCTACTCAACCCTTCTCATTACTAATGGAATTTCAATCACCATTATATTAAAAGTTGAACGAAATGATCTTGTTTTGTTCCTCGGCTGAAAAGATATGTCTTGAGGATTGGAGAAGCACTTCGATAAACAGATTTGGTAAACACATTTGTGTTCGACTTCATTCACTGACATCACGATCACCCTCTGAATGATCAGAATAAGGTAAAGCTTGAAGATAAGTTTTGTACTGTATTAATTTCTCAGTCCCTCTAGCCAGCCAAATAACGGATAGTCAGAAGGTCAACTTCACCGAAAGAAGGTCAGATTAATCCCGAGAAAGGTTATCAAATAATAGATTTGACCTAAACTTTCAGGGTATCTGGGCTTTAGAGATCAGCTCTCACCGTAGGGGGATCTAGCCCTAAGACCTATGGAAGAAATAATAGAAAGAGAATGCTACAAAGGTACAACCCCTTATGGATAGCAGTAGGAAGAGTAAATAGGCAAAGTATTAGGGACTGAACTCTTAGGCCAGCCCAAAAGAAGAATTACTACCGATTAAAAGTGTGGGATCGGCCTAGGAACCATGCGTGAGACGGGTTTCTCTTCACACAGCTCCGGCCGAAGACAGGGCAGGTATATTTCAGAAATAAACATCTAATGGAAGAAAATTATCTGCAGGAGACTTGTCTTAGTTTGCTAATTAGGGATTTCACCCATACGCAATGCACCATTCAGCTCCACTTTTGCCACTAAAGAATAAGTTGGAAATGGTTTTCCAATTTCTTGCTCTGATACTAATCCTAAATAATCTACTTCTTACCATACATTTTTTCTCTACATAGCTTAGAAAGTTCTTATGATAGAGAACAAACGATTTCACAAACGAACAAACGCACCGACCAATAATAATAAGCATCTTACAGTTGCAAAATAACACAGTGAAAAACATACGGTCGAAGAAAGAACTCACCGCCTTCTCGCGCGCCCCAGCTTCAACGTGTAACCCGCGCCCCGTTATCCCAGAAGATTGATCAGCTCTCTGAAAATCATTTCGAAAATCCAAGTCCAAATCCAAAACCCAATGCAGAAAATTGTTCAAATTTCATGTCAATATTCAAACCAAGAAAAGGAAAAATAATAAGGAAAGAAAGTCGAATTTCAGATAATTGACCTGGGGTTGGAGTCGGAACTGAGAGAGTGAAGTTCTGTTGAGGAGGAAGGCCATTGAATTTTCCAATCACAAATGCAAGCAGGTGTTTCCGGGTGGTGAAGACCCACGGAAGAAGTTTTGCCGGCGGGTAGAGCGTCGGAGATCAGACGACACCGGGGGAAAGCGGCTATGGGTGCAAAAGGAGATGAATCCGGCTTGGGTAAGAATCCGGGTAAATTAGATGGTCTCAACTCTCAACATCAGTTCCCTTCAAGTAGTTTTTGTTTTTTTTTTTTTACTAGTTAAATTTTTCTAATTCTCCCTCGCCCCTCGGTTTCGAAATTATTGTGAGCTTTTATTTTTTATAAATAAAATTAAAAATGAAAATTTAAACTGGAAAATAATTTTGAGAAAAAATATCAAAGAAAATAGTTTGATATTGAAATATTATTATTATTAAGGGCATTAAATTTTAGGGACTTGAGTGAATTTTACTTTATGGTAGAAATTTTTTTAAAAAAGTCTCTAAATTAATGATATTCTACAAAATTTTAAGTGATTAAAGTAATACTAAATTTTTTTGGTTCCAATTTATGAGACATTACAATCGAACAAAATCAATGTACCTTATTATAACGAAAGTCCAAGAAAGAAATAGTAATGAGGTATCGCACTCTTATGAAATGTTTTTTTTCCTTAAAAAACAAAATTAAGTCGTTTTGGTTAAAAATTAATTTATATTTTATTATTAAATAACTATTAAAGAAAAAATAAAAGATATATTTCACAATGTAACTTAAAATATTCCTGTCTAAACTATATTAAAAAAATCTAATAAATACATTGAAAATTAATTTTTACTAAAAACAGAAAAATTTTAATATTTTACTTGCGCACCCTTTAGACCTTTTTCCACCACTAAAAGGAATAATCGTTGTCTCACCATTTATATTGAAAAAATATTAAAATTATGCGGGTAAAATTATTTTTAAAAAAACACTCAAAATAAAACATTTTCCTTCTATTCAAATTCGATGGCTCTAAGCTTCTAATGTTCAAGAGAGAAAAAATGATAAAGTGTCGCACTCTCGTAAAATATTTCCCCCCAAAACAAAACTACGTTTTGGTTAAAAGAACAACTATTAAAAAATATTTTTAAACAACTATTAAAAAAATCTATTGTTAAAACAACTATTAAAGAGAAAATGAAAGACAACTATCACAATGTAATTAAAAAATTTTCTATCTAAATTATATCAAGTCAATACTACATAGTTTTGATTAAAATAATCTAATCGAATACATTTTAAATTTGCGTTTACTAAATAGTTGTTTGAGAGAAAAATTTTAATAGTTTATTTAAGCTCCCTTATCATCTTTTTTTCACACCTAAAAAAATAATCGCAACGCACAGGGAAAAATTTAGTTAATGTAATAATAAGAAATAACCTTTTAAGAAACCCCTATATAAATATAGGTTTAGTCAATAGTGTAAATTAATAATATATTACAAAATTAAGGTAAAACATAAATTTAATAAAATAGGAGGCGAACGAGATTTGTTTTTTCGTGAAATTTATATCTGAAATAATTTTATTCTTGATTTTTCTAAGTGAATTCAAAAGTTTTAGAATGACTTTCACAATCTTCCTAATTGAATTAAAAAATGCATTATAAATTAAGAATTACTAACTTATCATTAGAGTAATAATTGCTACAAATTAATCTTGGGAGTCTAGCAGCATTGATTTATTTTTTTAGTTCTCTACACCTCTACGGTGAAATGGATGGATAACACGAATATATTAATTCAATTTTTAGATGATATCGATTTCATAATTTGAATCCTTAAATATTATTAATAAATTTCAGACATTTTTTTCTTTTATAACAATTTGAGACTTTTAAAATAAGAAGATAGAAAGTATTAATTGAAAGTTATAGTCTTTTTCTTTTTATCTTTTATTTTTTATAAAAGCCTAGAAGTAAAATTTCGCTAAATCTCATCGCTTTAAACTTTTAACCGTTGTGGTTGGGGAAAAGAACTTACTGTAACAAATACTGCATATAAAAATCAGGAATTATTTACCGCTTACGTGGCCTCCCTAAATATTTCTTGTTTATCCCCTTCTAAACCATTTTCTTTAATTTCTGAATGTTAATTTGGTCGATTCCCTCAAACCCGTATTACTACGTTCAACATGTTGCAGTCTCAAAATAATTATTCCTTCCGCTCCAAAATTATTGTCCAGATTAAATTTTCATTTTTAGTTGAAATTGTACTGAAAGTAAAATTTAATTTTGGGACACAAGGAGTATTATATTTAAATTTTTAATTATAATATAATTTTATATTAACGAGACAATTATTTTTAAATGAACAAAATAATTGTTCTAGACTTGTAATCTTTCCAACTTGACATCCTCGCTAGTTTGAAGTTACAGTTCGTTTCATCATTTTCTTCAGCCTAACCTCATTATTGGACGGAAAGTGACTATATCGGACACACAATTTCCGCAGATGATCAAGTCGGTGAGTTGTGTGGTAGAAAAATCTTTCTGCTGGTTCAGAAAGCACATCAATATTGTACAGAAAGGGAGTTCATTTTATTCGCAAATTGGTGCGACAATTAATTCATTTGTAAAATAGATTAATTATGGACGTCGTATAAAGTGGATCTAATCCTTAACTTTGGAAGGGATTTTGGATGAAAATTCTATAGGCTAGAGGATCATAATGTTTTTTTATTCTGTAAATCAGATAATCGTGTCAAAGTAGCTACTTTTTGTGTTTACTTTAAACATTCATGATTAATTTTCATATATCCATTTTGACTTGAAATTGGTCTTCATCATATGATGATGGAATTCATAATAACCAAAACATTATGATTGATGAGCTTCCATGGTGTAAAAGCAAACTCAAAATCAAAGACAACATACATATCCCAAAAGAGTGAAGGTAGCTTGTTGCCCACCACCAATTTGGAATGCAGTTTTTAAATCACTCTAATATAATAATCGAGTAAAATCTTTACAATTTTACTTAATTTCTAACGAATTCAAATAATAAGACATCGTTCACATACCCATCAAGTACCGACCTGAATAAAATTTAGACAAACAAAATTAAATGTTCAAAGGCTTATTGTTATTTAAGCTATATGTTAACTTGGGATTATTATTCTGCAGCAAAATAATCCTAGATCTATATAGCTGTAGTATACACATGATTGGCAGAGTTTCCATGAGAATATTGATGTTTCGGTTCCCAACCCTTTTCTATTTAGGGAGAGGAAACTTCAAAAAGAACTTCTAAAAAAGCTACAAAAACTGCTTTACTGCCATTAATCTTAGTGCTCAAAATCTTTTAAAACAAAAAAGAGGAGGATCTCATATTCTCTCGTGGCATCGTGGGCAGGAAAAATGATTCCCTCTTTCATTTAGAATAGTGATGCCTGCTATGATTGCACAAAGTCAAAAATGTACCAAAAAAATGATGATTCAAGCCTTCAAAAATGTGTAATTTATACTTATTCCCTGCTCTGAGTTCCGACTGAGCTGCAAAGAATCCTTTTCTTTTTTCATTGTTTTTTTTCTTCAAGGGAAGAAGAATCATATTTGGTATCCACCACCAAAGGTATATTAGTGTAATAGTGGTAGTGAGTATTGCTTTTTTGGGTACCTTTTAGTACAAAATTTAAGAATCAAAGTTAATTTTGTCTTTTTATATTAAGTATATAATATTCCCTCACTAATTTAATCAAATACAGATAATGAGCAGGTAATATTTATATCAAGAAGAATATAATGTTTTTAGTTAAGAATAAGAAACAAAATCTGGACTCTTTATGTATCATCATATAAAAATGTTCTGAATGAGCATATTCTGAGTGATACTCACACTATTGAGATGGATCTCTTCTGAAAACTTTTTCTTCCAAAACTTATATCAACTGGACTCGGGTGGAACTATTTCGACAATTAGTACTCCCTCCGTCTCAAAATTATTGTCCAGTTTAAATTTTCATTCTTAGTTCAAATTGTATTAAAAATGAAATTTTTTATCAAATTGGACAATAATTTTGGGACGGAAGGAGTATTTCTAAACAAATGTTTCAAAAGATACACAAAGGAGGAACAAAATCCTTATATATGAACCAACAACTATTATTGACTCCTAAGTTTTGCTTCAATATTAAGGTTTCATAAAGTTTTCTCTGAAGTATATTTGGTATTAGAGATAGCTTTTATGCCATTAAATTTTGTAGCTGCTTCGCTGTATAGATTCTCTTGTAGATGATTAGCTGATCACTTTCCATAATTCTGTGGATTTTGATTCTAACTATACTTTAACTGAGTTAGTTGTTCTCTCACTTTCTGCACTAATTGTACTCTCAAATATTACTCTATTATAAGTTGTACTGTATTTCTTTATTATGATTACCACCAGGATTGCAAATATTCTGTTGCTCTGTTATTTTATTTTGGATAATTTTTTTTTCCTACCTTTGTCCAGTTAAATAATTTGTTTTGGAGTCAATGGATTTATTTTTTTTAAAACTTTGTGGTAGTAGTTGGCATAATAAATTAATTAGTTGGCATTTTTGTGGTGAAGAGCGCAGTACTGTTTTCCTTTTGCCTTCAAAAAATTAATAGAAATTCTTCATTCATTTTTGCATCATTGACACTTCAGGTTGCTTATTAGAGTTTTGTCTCAATTACTAGGGGGTGTTATTAATTGAAGGAAGTCAAATTTCTAACCCATAAATTTTTTATTTTTTTTTTGTGGTTGCCTGTCACAGTTTTTAGAGCTTCGCACCGACTAATCCGTTGGTCGACCCGGGTCGCAACACTGGTAGGTGAATCTCCCAACAAAAGTCTTTTGCATCCACAAGATTTCGACCGAGACTTTGCTTGAGCGGCATCAAGCTACTTACCACTTGAGCTAACCTTAGTTGATAACCCATAAGCTTCAATTACAAAAAAAATTAATATCGGGATCTTCTTTTTTTTTTTTTCTTAAAAAGGCTCGAATGCGAATTAGTATTACTGTAGTAAGGTGAAAAAAAATAAATTGCAAAAACTATGACAATTATTCTTCCAAAAAACAAACAAATAAACATATATTGCTTCAAAATTAAAGAAGCCACAAAAATTTTGTCTATTAGGAAAAGATGAGGTTGATCAGCAATTTCTCAGATCATGGGCTCTGCTCTTTAGCTCACTATACAGTTTGTTCCCATCTCAGCAGTTCAGTTTGTGTTCTATGCTGATAATACTAGTTCCTTTTTTTACCCCTTAAAATTCATTGGTGGGGAAAGAAATCCTATCCTAAAAATTAGAGAAGAGACACAATCAAATCAACTTGTAGCCTCCGAGATGCTCTGTAATGAGGGTTGCCATGCTCTTGATTTGACACCAACAGAATTTGCAGATTGAGATGTCTTTGACCTCTGTCTCTCTTGTTTTGTCTGCAATAGAAAAATCTGCACTGATTAGAATTCTGGGTTTTTTTTTTTTGTGGGGGGCGCAAAACAGAACACAACATTTTCTGGATTGATTTCAATAGAAAAACTTCTTTGCCCTGTTCCTCACTTGATTATGCAGGGTTAATCTAATTCTAGATTTTTGGCAAAAACTGAAGTCAGAATCTGAATATCTGAACCATTATGAAGCAATCCCTGATGATTCTTTGTTACTTCCAAGTTCCCAGAAGTTGTAAGAAAAAACCATCAGTACAAAGGCTTCAGATGAAACAGAGCATACTTTGGTTGAGAATTTTAAGGTGAAAAACTTAACATATATTTTCCTCTTGTGATGACAGAATTGAAGAAGTACAAAAATTCACCTTTCTGTTGTTCTTGTCCAGTTCATATTTTCGGACAGCTTCTTCAAGATCCGAGATTTCCTGGGCTGTCAATCCTTCTTCTTTCTCATCAGAAGATGATGATGATGATGATAACTGCTTCTTCATTTTTGCATATTTCTTTGCCCACAACCCTTTCATCACCTCTGTAAATCCCAAACAACAAAAACCCATGTCAAAAAAAGATTTCATAAACACCCTTTAAATCACACGAGTTCAAGAAAAAAGAAAATTGATTTTAATTAGTACCCCTATTGGTGATGAGTCTGTAAACATGGCCAAGAAGTAAGGTGTCAGTTGGTTTAAGCAGCTTAATCCTTGTAATCCGAAGCGGCTGCTGCTGCTGCTGGTGGGTTGAGATTTTATTGGCGGCGGCGGCGGCGGAAGTTGAATTTCCGGTGTTGGAAGGCGGGCAGAAAGTGGTGGTGAGAAGAAGAGCAACATAATGGCCAGGATTCATCTTCATAATTTCACTGGCAGTGACAGGAGTGTACAGCTTATCTGCTCTACCATTTGGGTGTTGTATAACCAGGCTTGCATTATCAATTGCTTGGCAATTCCCCATTAATGAAATCCAGAGAATTGATTTGTTTGAATTTTTAAAACAAAAAGAAATTAGGAAAGAGAATAATACACAACAACCACCACAGAAGTAGTAATAGAAGAAGAAGAAGCAGAGCAAGAGGGAGAGGAAGATTCCATATCACTGATGCTTGCTTTTATATATAGTTCTCTGTGTCTTGAGACTTATTATTCACGTACGTTACCCCAACCACTCACTCCCGGTGCCCAAAAGTGCCCAAAACCCTTTCACTTTCAATAAATTATTGGAAATGTAATACCCCAAAATTAAAAACCAGTGAGGTTCATAATTAAGAAAGTCATACTAATTAACTATGGCTACATATTCATAATTGGTACGTGTTCCCTATGTTCCAAAAGTATAGTCTTGTTTATATTTATAATACATCGGATAATTATTATGGAATAAAATTAGTATTATAATTCTGATGAACAAAATTAGCTTATGGATTGGGTATTTTTGAACCGAAAATATTGCAAATGGTACATACGGGTTTAAAAGGAACGTTTTCTTTTGTTGAAAAATATATCTTGATATCTTTCACTCCCAAAATATTTTGATTCAAAGTTTATACTTTTGTCTCTTTCACGACACCTTTAGTCAAATTTAAAAAAGGAGCCGGCAGAGAGTTAAAAATGCATATCTCGAATAATTTACTGAAATGACGTGATTACCGTGGCCCTTGAAGTCGTCAGTAAAGCCTGCAAGAGCTCTAAAGCTCCAACCTTAGTTTATATATACAGGAGTGTATAAATAAATAAATAAATAGTTCAATATCATTACTCAGATGACACAAAAATCCTTAAAGTGAGCCTGTCAAAAGTGAAAACTGCAAATTTTGGTGTTATGCATATAATTTAGGATTCCCAAGGGATGAAAGAAAAAGAGATAATGGCTTTCGTGCGTTTGGTCTCAGTAAAAAAAAAAAAATTAACTCGGAAGGAGTGAAACTCTGAACAAAGCTGTCGGTTTACAGAAGTGAAACATTATGGTATATTGTGGAAGTTACCTTTTTCTTTTTTTAACTGGGGGAAATAATTCTGATGGGGTTGAAACAATCAGTCGTGTTTGTTTCAGATGACAGAAGAATGTCGGACAAACTGTATAGTGCACCTCATCTCAAAATAATTGCTCCATCTTTTTTTTTTAATTATTATTATTATTATTATTATTACCACAAATTTAACAATCATTTTTATATAATTCTCCATTTCCTACCACGCTTTTTTGTATTCTGAAATTAAATAATGTTTTACGATTTTTAGTGAGTATATATTAAATTCATATTGATTTCTATTCAATCGAATTGTACTCCTCATAGCAAAAAAAATCTCCAAATTTATTTGTATTTGTGGACTAACTCGAATTGTTTAATTTAAACAAATAATTATGTTTTTTTATCACTTAACACCGATAATTATTGTAATTGTAATATTATATGGTTCTTTTAATTAGCAATTGCAAATTAACTCTGTCCCTCTTGGTTTGAGTAGTTGAGTGTGTGCACTACAGACCAACGAAACACACATTTGGCGTGCCTCACCACACCCTTTTCAAAGTTTTAAACAATTTTAACATTTCCAAGTTCTCTTCAATCTTTCGATATTGTTTCTAGTAACTGCTTGATTAATCTGGTTCTAGCTACTTACTTGTCCAACAAGTTTTTTGATCATGTACTTGAAAGTGATAGAGATAAGAATTGAATTCCATAATCATTGCTACGATAGAGCACTAACTATTCATACAACTGTTCATTTCTACTTCCTAACAGCGTAAAAAAATAAATAAATTATTTAGTCTGTATAATGTACACATAAACTATGATTCTTTATCGCATGGTTCAGTACTTTATGTATCTCAAAAAAAAAAAATTATTTTTTTTCACTTTTCTATTTTTATCTCTGGGATATAATTGATGCACGAAATAATTTTAGCTCAAAAATCATACTTTTAAACTTACGAAGATAAATTGGCTCCCATTGAGAAGAAAATTAAAAAAGGTTATGTACTATAAATGATTGTTCATAACAGAAGCATGATTTTGATGAGTTACATCACAAATTCCATAATGAGCTTTTCAAAAATCTCTCAACATGCGTGGGTTTATTGCTTTTGTTTGTGTGGAAAGGCAAGATATATATAGAAATTAGCCTTTACTTCACAAAAAGGGGCCCAAAAACAAGACACAAAAACAAAAACAGAAAGGTAAGCATGCACAAACCCAATGTCATGCAAAGAACACACACCCAAGAAACAACCACAATAAGTGGTTGTCGCATGTGAAAGCTTAAGCACTCATTTTTACTACCTTTTGTGGGAAAATATTTGAGAGATTAGACAATTTGGAAAAGAAGAAAAAAAAAGAACCCTTTTCTTTTAATTTTATTCTTTCTGGGTTTCCTTTACAAGCCAAAATAGGACAGTTGTAATTGTCACTTGCAGCTTTAACATTTTTTTTGTCTTGAAAGCATCTGAGCTAGAGGCGTCGTCTTCATGAATATTAGTGTCCACTGTCTTGGTTCATACGATTTTCAACGTTGAAATATCATTTATGTTCTTATTACATCCTTAAGATTTTGTTTGATGTATATAGATATGGGTTCGGTATATAATCCTCAGTTCAGTGTTGTAATGAAATGGAACACTGTACATGTGTAATTATCTCACCAAAAAGATGCTTACAACTAAGTAAAAGAGATTAATCTTTATGCCGATAAGTGAAGTTACTCCCATTCACAGTTTAATACTTGCTATTGGTTTTTCTCGAACAAGTTATAATAGCAGCTATCATAATGTTAATATCAGAAATCTACTTGAGATTCTAACAAACTTGTTAGCTACGTGCCAACTTACAACTTCAGCATACAAAAATAATCACAAGAAATACAATATATCTAGATAGAGAAATTATTCACTGCATCTGCTGTACTATGTAGGATTGTGCAGCCAGACACAATAATAGGGGTAAAGTAGTAATTTTGGGGGGAGAGATAAATTCTACGGGAGTTATATCACTAAAATAGAGGTACTAGTATTTGCTACACTAAAAATCAGGATACAACAGCTGTATCTAATAATTTTTCATCTAGATAACCCTTTAAAGTGGACGATCACGTTTTATGCACTTAATTACACACACCCACACACACACACACACACACACACATATATATAAGGTAAAGTAAATGTCTCTTAAGCCTAGAATTTGAGCTCTAATTGAGCAATCCTACTGGTTGAATGGCTTGAATCCAACGGTCTAATTTTAATTTGATAGTCACAACTTAAGTGGCAAATTTGTCATTGTGAAATACAATTCTTTTCCACTTATTTTTTGGCCAAAAAGTAGACGCACAAAACGACATCGTTTATCCAAAAATTCAATAATCCTCCTTTTCCCCTAATTTTTCCTTCACAGTCATTTTCTTCCTATCCTCCTGGGTCGAACACCCACATCTCCTCTCTCATCTTGGCCGCTCGAAGACTTCCTCTATGACTCTACTTCTCTCTCCCTCCGACCATAGTACTTCGCAAATAAGGGATTTGAATGTCAGGTATGTGGGATTCGCCGTGGTGAACCCTACCTTTCCTCTCCCACCCCCGTTTTCCTTCCGACACTCCAGCCGTCCTTTTTCGACTAATAAATACTACTAGACTAAAATGTCCAAATAGTTCCTTACATTTGAGCTTACTTAATTTTACGTCCTTAACATTAACATTTCAATATCGTACTCCCAAATATTATATTTTCACTTTTTTTTTTTTATCCAATTTCACTGTTTCGGCTACTTTTCCGTCCAACTCGATGTTGACCGGTAGTTGATTTGCCGAAATCAGGGGTATTTTCGTCTTTTGACTTAATTTAAACTTTCATTGAAATTTAAATCATTAAAAATATCATAAAATTCACATTTAATTATTTAATTGTTAAAATGTTATTCATTAATTTAAAATATTATTATAAAATTTAAAACTTACATTATTTTTAAAAAATTTCTTTTTCTATTTATCATTTATGTTGGATACAAAATAAATATTAATTACATTCCATTTTTAACTCCATATCACTCAAAAATTTTACCATGTTACAGTAACTAATTCAAAATTCAATTTTTTGTTTAAAAAGAAAAAGCAAATTATATTTTTTATCCGAATTTTCACCTACCAATTTTTTATTTGGTTGAAGTAAAAAATCCAGCATGCCCAAAGGGAAGAAAATTGAGGGGGCAAAAATCCGGATAAAAAATAGTTTATTTTAATTTATAGTTTGAATTGGAGATATAATTTAAAATGTGGTTTTAGTGAAAATTTAAAAAGTTGTTGGGATAAAAATTCAAATAAAATAATATTATCTATACACTACCACCTCCACACCTACAGCGGCAGGAAGTGGTCCGGCGGCGGGCGGCGTCAGTGGAGGTAATATTATTTTATTCGAATTTCTATCTTAGAATTTCTATCCTAACAACTTTTTGAATTTTCACGAACACCACATTTTAAATTATATCTCCAATTCAAAGCAATAACTAAGCCAAAAACTTAAATAAACTATTTTTTATCCGAATTTTCACCCCCACAATTTCTTGCATTTTTTTTTAAAATTGAATTTTTAATTAATTATTATAGCGCGGTAAATTTTTAGAAATAACTCAAAATTTATTGTAGCTGTCAAATTCAAAAATCTTGTTTTTGTTTTTTTTTTAAATTTGAATTTTGAATTATTTATTGTGACTCGGTAAATTTTTAAAGTTACAGTGGGCGGTTAAAAGTGCAACATAATTAACATTTATTTTAGTAAAAAAAAAGTAACTTTGAAAATAATTTAAATTTTAAAATTTTAAAATAATATTTTAAGAATTAAATAATAAATGTGAATTTTTATAATATTTTTAATGATTTAAATTTTAATAGAAGTTTAAATTATATAAAAAGATGAAAATACCCCTAATTCCGACATGTCAACTATCGGTCAACATCGAGTTGGACAGAAAAGTGGTCGAAAGAGTGAAATGGGACCAAAAAAGTATGAAAACATATTATTGGAGACTACGATATTAAAATGTTAATGTTAGGGACATAAAATCAAATAAACCCAAATGTAAGGGATCATTTAAATATTTTAGTCATACTACTATCACACACGGTTTTCCTTCAAATTGAGGGAGTATGCTTCGAGTTTTCATTCGAATAAAACTTGAAGAGCTATTCAATCAGTAGTGATCTTATTTTATCTGTTAGCATTACGGTTTTGCAAGAGAGCTCTTGGTGAATTGCCTTGTGTAGTTGGGCTTATGGCATTAAGGTTGTATGTGGAACTAATTTCAGAAAAAAAATTTGGTAAGTTCCTTTAAGGTGCATACATGCGTAAGATTTTTGCCAACTTTTCATTGTGATAACAAAGTCTTTTGTGTCTTCAATTTTCGGTAAGAAATGTGTTTTCAGCTTGAATGTGTTTTTGGTCAAAGACTTTTTCTCTGATCCTTATTTGTTTCAATTGTAATAAGTGGAGATGCTAGGGGGTTGAGGCAGCCAGGAGCCAATGGGGTTCATGAGCGTTCATCTGTGGAGCTAATTTTGTCCATTCATTCTCTAGAGTTTTTTTTATTGGGATAGCTTTCGTGGAAAAAATGTCGTTCTTATCCAAAACTTTGCACTCGTCGTCAATCATATCTAATAGATTTTCGGTTAGTCAGCTTTACCTTAATATTTGAAATTTTCGACAATTTTGTCTAATCGGCCCATTTTTCGTTCAAATTAACGGATCTCCGTTAGTTTTTTAATAAAATAATAAATTTAAATACAAACATACCCCAATAGTTTGTAAAAATTTTAAAAACAACCCTTAAAATATATAAAAATAATAAAATAGTCTATTTTTATTTTTTTATTTCATTTTTTTCTAATTTGTTCCATTTCTCTCAACTACTTTTAATGACCATAAAAGTATATTATATGAGTTTTAAAAAATATTTATTTATTTTCAAACTCTATCGTAAAAGTTAATTTTTGTATAGTTGTAACACATGATTGTATTTATATAAGCATGTTAATCTTTTTAATAATATAATTTAGCAATAAAGACACTATTTTTCTGATTTATTTTATTCTTTCTAACACAAAGATTAAAAATATTTAAAGGAAACTAATATTCCACATAAAAATAAAATATTAGCTCGAATAAAAAATAATATATTAGTATAGTTTAGTGTATTACAATTTAACTAGAGAGACTACATGGCATAATATAATTTATAAAAAATATTTTTATACTTATCAATGCGAGGATTTAATATTTTGTGATAATTATTTGTGATGTTAATATATCTAACAATAGAGGAAGTCTTACTAGCTTATTCTGTATGATTTTAGTTTAAAATAAATGAATGGAGGTAACAATGTGGTAATAAGTTGTTGTGATAGAAAATAGGTTTTAGATTCAAGAAGGAAAACTTATGTTTGGAGGATTTTTTTAAGGTTTTTATTTTATATTTTAGTTATTTTTTTATGAATTATATTAATGCAAGTTATAGTCTCTTGAGTTAAATTGTAATACACTAAATATATTAATATTTTTTTATTTGAGCTAATATTTTATTTTTATGTGGAATATTAGTTTCATTTAAATGTTTTTAATCTTTATGTTAGAAAGAATAAAATAAATCAGAAAAATAGTGTCTTTATTGCTAAACTATATTATTAAAAAAATTAACATGCTCATATAAATACAATCATGGGTTACAACTATACAAAGATAAATTTTTATGGTAGAGTTTGAAAATAAATAAATATTTTTTTTAAAACTCATATAATAGACTTTTATGGTCATTAAAAGTAGTTGAGAGAAATGGAACAAAATAGAGAAAAATAAAATAAAAAAAGTGAATAGGGACTTTTTGTTATTTTTATATATTTTAGAAATTATTTTTAAAATTTTTAAAAATTACTTGGGTATTTTTATAATTAAATGTATTATTTTATTAAAAAATTAATGAAGATCCATTAATTTGGACGGAAAATAGACCGATTGGACGAAATTGGCAAAAATTTCAAACATTAGAGTAAAGTTGGCTAACCGAAAATCTATTAGGTATGATTGACGATGAGGGCAAAGCTTTAGCTAGGAATGACATTTTTTTCCTAGCTTTCGTATTGTCCAAACATTTGCTCCTCTTTTTGCTAATAATCTTATGTATTGTATTTTTTTCCCTTTTTTTTCTTTTTTTTTTTTGGACATTGTAGTACATACAATTATGGGTATGGTGAATTGGGTATGATCATAGTAGAATCGAATAACTCTTTGTCTGTTGCTTGACACCTTTAAGAATGATGTCAATGTGGGATTAAAGGGAATTTATTTTCTTGAATTAATTAAGTTTGATAATCAGCTCTAGGATCGAAAAACTGCATCATTGAGAAATGTTACTTTTCTTTACAAAGAGTTTTAAAGTCAAATTATTAAGTAGTGAACTCTAATTTTTCATGTAACTACAGAGTTTTTCCAATTCATTTTTCTCCAATTCTATACAGTAATCAGATCACATTAAAAAATTCTCAACAAAAGTAACTGTTTTTCATCTGAATATACATTTATTTCTTTTGTACCTTACATACTTATACTTGTGTAAGTAAGTTTACTTTGCTCATTATTTTGCTTTTACAATAATATTTCATCAACTTATGGACAGAATGTGTCGCGCAACGCACGACGAATGTTAGAATTATATATATATATATATGATCGGAAGAATACTGATAATATATATATATATATATATATATATATATATATGATCGGAAGAATACTAATAAAGTATTATTATCATACATCCATCAACAAAGGAAGATAAAATTCATGACATCGTTTAGATTGGAATAATTGTCGCTCTAGGGATATTAATGAGTATTTTCAAATGGAAGAACAGATTTCTTAAACTTACTATCTCTATCTCAATAAAATAATTTATATTAAATTTTCAAATTTATAATGAAGAAAGTACGAGTTTCAAATTTCAATGCGAAATTTGTATGATTTCTCATCAGCAAACTTTATTAATGTGATGATCCCGAAACTTCCCTCTCCTTTCAAGCTCTTCGTTTCAGTTTCAGTTTCCCTTCATCGAAGCTCTTTTCTGAGAATGGCTCATGGCCTTTTTTTTTTACCAATTTATTTCAACCGGACAACACTGTTTTCCTACCATTCTCTTCCATTTTCCTCTTTTCTTGTGATTAAAAAATTTTCGGCGCAATTCGCATTTTTGTACAATTGGAACAATGTTGTTTTGGGAAGGCATCCTTACTCTTACATAAGAGGGGGAGAGATATCACTGAACTTCGGATCGGCCGGCAAAATTCCGATCTAGTATTGAGTTTTATCATTGAAATGTCGAAACATACTTCAAAGGAAAAAAAAAAAAAATACAGACACACACACACAAAACACAGTGGCGGAGTAACATGTCATGGTTACACCGTGTTACCAAAAATATAGCTGCATTAATACTTCTAGTTTTTTTCACATGTCCATTTGGATTAGATTTACAGGAAGAACATAATAAACCAATGCTCTAAGCATACTTTAAAATGGTCAGGCTATGTATACTCTCTTTCAGGATAAAAATTAAGCGAGGAACAGGAGGGAAACAACAACATCAAACTAAGCCCTACTTACAGCTTCTTGAGAGCTACAAAGGGGATCAAAGATATAGAGAAGCCTATGACTGGGGAATCTTCAATCTCAGTGATACCATAGCTCAAACCGATGGGAAGTATTTGTTTAGACGGAAGGGCAGGGAATAGAATTCCTCGCTTCTGGTATCGTTTTTGAACGACTTGAACTTGTCCCACCAGTGCTTACCTCTGTCTTTCCTTATCTGAGAATCCTTCTTGTGCAGTGTATTGTCCAGGAAATATGCCACTATTCCCGCAACAAAAGCTTCCGATGAGAAAGGTACATTGACAATGTCATTAAACTGCACCAGTGAGCAAAGAAGAGGTCATCTTTCTTTGATTCTTACTCTCAAATGTTGACAAGAATTCACAGAAGTTCGTGTGTAACAAATATTCAGCTTTAAAATGTAACTGATAACTTTGTTCTTACCCATCTCGCCTTCGTGCGGACCGGGCCAAACCCTTCGATGGCTATGTGCTCTTTGAAGTACTGTGGAATAGACAACCCCAAGAAGATTGAAAAGCCTAGTATAAACTTGGTGCGAAAACTGTTCAGATTGCAGAATTGAAGAAAACTCAAGCCTCCAGCTCCTGCAGAAAACAGAAGCCCAAGCAATTGTCAGTTCATTCAAGAAATCAAAACTCCAAAATGCCTAAACCAGATTCAGCCAATTTGCCAGATTGGTTGTATACATACCCACATAAGCAAAGAAAAGGCAATATAGTGCAGCAACAATTGGTGCTGGAATGGAGGCAAAGACTGCTCCAAATTTCCCTGCAAGTCATTCTAAATTTGTTACAGGACTATTTCACCACAACAGGGATGAAGCAGAGTTTTCAAATGCAAAAAACAAATTCCCACCTAAGATGGAGAAGAAAATCATGAACCCAGCAGATATCTGAACCACTCTTCTGCTTCCAACACGAGTTAACGCTAGTAGGCCAGCATTCTCACTGAAACCATCGAATCAGATGCATAAATAAGAAGTCTCATGAGTTAATATATATTATCCAATAAAGGTATATAAACTCTGCTTACACAGAGACAGAAGATCCGGTTCCAGTTCCAAACAGCCCAGACAACAAGATGCCGATTCCCTGAAATTTAGAGAAACTACATGTTAGAAAACAAATGCTAATCAAATGACTTGAATGGTAAAAACACATCACTTATAGTAAAAACTGAAAAGAAAAGGTATTATGACCATGCTTAGTGGAAATCTACAGCTAAAAAATTGAAGTAGATTAGCGATTAAGTCATTCATTAAGCTGCCTATATTTTGGTCTATGAAAAAGAAATCCTCCTACAAAAGGATTGTCTCCATAGTTTCATGCACCATAAGAAGCTTCAGATCTATAATTTTCCAGGTACTTGAAGGATGACACAAACCCCAGTTGCATATAGCAACAAATGAATTACAACAATCGTAAAGCAGATCATGGAGATATGCAACCTAAATAACTTAAAATAAATGGGTTTCAAAAACGGGAGAAGAAAACATTGCTCGTTATGATGTAATCTCCTCAACAATAGCTCTTCTCCAACCTCCTTCCATAACCCCTTCCCATTTCAACCTTTCTTCCTATTGCATCAATGTCAAAAGGACAGCTACAACTACAAGGTGTCCTTCAGCATCCTGCGAATCTGATGTTGAACCACTGGCACCATTCAGCATAAGTTAATCACTTCTACCTTTCTACTCAATATAAAGATTTCGCAACGGCTCCACACAGTGCTTAAGGAGAAACTACCATAGAAAACTATCATGTTCTTCGGAGCCAGTTTTTCTGATTTCATCTGCAAGTCCTTGAATTGTTTCTTGCTCCCTCAGATGCAGAGAAAACTAATGCAGTTCTTATATGCAAATACAATGTCAGAGCTAGATGCGTACTTAGACCCAGCTGACTTAGGATACCCTAATTAAAAGCTTCTAAAACGGAGAGGAGACCAATGACAATTAGCTATCTTGTTCAGACTCGCAAAGAAAATAAGAATAGAGTGCTTCTTTACCTGCCAACCTACACCCCTGCTTAGTATGGATGGTGGCATGTGAGTTGCACTAGCATATCTAGCCACGGCAATAAAGGCACCAGTAGACTGCAAATCCATCAGAAACAAAACCCATATCAAAGCACATAACAGGCAGTATTCCACAAATTAACTCCAAAAGTAAGGTGGTAAATGGTAATACAGAAACATTAGACAACTTCAATTCATTGTACTCATCCCCGCGCAATTACTTGGGATAGTTTTCGTTCCCAGGGAATGCTTAGCATTCCACATCAACTGTATTTTAAGCCTGAATCCTATAGTTCTATGCTCATTTCAACAGTCCTTATGACCCCGCCTTACATGTCCAGCTTCTCAAGCAAAAAAAAAAAAAAAAAAAAGAGAAAAACGAGGAAAGAACACAATACTAATAATCACAGCTTCTATAGTGACAGCTTCCCGTAAAATAAGTCCATTTCCATCTTTTCTTATATCAAGATTCAATAAAAACAAAACTCTCCAAATAGGTGTATTTGCCTCATGTTTTATATGCAAGTGGAGAGCACTCTACAAAGAGAAAAAGATGGAGTAGAGTAAAGAAAGGTCCAGAGAAATGTAGTCGAGCTAAAAACAGCAGAGAACAAGAAAAGGCTAAGGCAAGCGTCAAAGCAGAACCACAGATACCTATAACAAGCATCTAAAATAAGAAACATGAAGCAGCATTTACTTCTCACGGCAAAAATTGTAACTGATACTAACTCATACGGTCAATGGGATTTTGTTTAAACTACTCACTAACCAGCAATCAAATGATAACAAGGTCAAAATATAATGCAAAAGTTTGATGAGACAAAGGATTAGTCAGCACGAGTTTATATATAAGCATATCATGAATTACAGTTCTGTATTGCAGATATTAAGAAAAGAAAGGATGCTCAAACATTCTTCATGGTAGATGGTGAATCTAGCTGGCAGTCACACTAATTTATATTAACTATTCGACCAAATCAACAGATTCCAGGCAACATTGTCATAGGCAGAGTCTATAATTTTTGTACAACCTAGTATGACCAATAACTGCCATGTCGTTCTGACATAATAACAGCCCTTGACCATCATCATATTGAGACTAGTTGCCTTGATATACTAGTCACTAATAGAAGGATAAATAAATTCATGGAAACAATTTCTCATAAGATTCAATAAACCGAATTCACATTCAATGAAAGGGATTGATCTAATGACCCAATGAAAGTAACTGCAATCTTAATACAAGTTCAAGCTAAATCAATAGAAGTACAATCAACAATGTTTGATGATGGGATTGCGCAAAAGAATCCCATCAAAAGGAGTATAAATATGTGAATACTCATTTTAATAGTGATTAAGATAAAAATCACACAATGAGAAACCATTCACATTATAGAAACAGACCTCTACGAGAGCTACAAAAGAAGCCATCATCATAGCAAAGGCTTCTCCAGCATCAAAAGATGGTGGTCCCCACTGAAAAGGGTAAGGAACTCTTATCCTGCATGCAAACAAAGTAAATCAGCAAAGAATCCTGAGTCATACAAGACCACGCTACATCCCCAACTTTACTTTCCGCCAGGTCTTGAAAGGACTTGCACAGACAATACAACATTTGATAGGATACAGCAAATGCTGATGCTCTGAGTAGTTTATCTTGTAACAAACACTAAGAGTACCAAAATTCTAAGCTATTAGATGTAAGGCATCAGAAGAAATTTTGTTTAAATCAGACTCCAGCCCACAGACTAGTTACACTGCTAGAATGAAAGAAAGCATATTACATAATGCAATCACTTTTAAGTTAAAACCCAGACAGTTCATAAGCTTCTACTTGTTTTGCTTCGTGAATTTTATCTAAAATCATCGATAGTAAATCATACTTCTAAATTTTGTACCAAAGTTCTATAGGACTTTTCCAAACTTTGATTCGTTTAGTTCACGAAAATGTGAACTCCCAAAAACTCAATCTGTGTGGCCACATCTCAAAGTAGGAAACTAGATCCATCAGTCAATACCCATCAATATCATGATTTAACTGATCCAGATGAACATAAATCTAAAAATGCCAAAAGTAACAAACCAGTATTACAGCAAGCTACTAAATTAGCTTACCATGGAGCAGCATCAATAAGCCCTGCACGGTCAGTGCGGCAGCTTGCCTGGGTTCTCGGTGATTTACCATTGTAAGCCCCGCCTACAGTCAGCAAGTGAGCATATATCCACACAATGGCTACCGTGAATATGACCGCAAAGCGATCAAAAATATTTTTTCCAGGTTTTATCAGATGGACCAAATACTGCAATAGCAAAACAAATGTTCACAAATCATACATTATAGCTCGAACAAGGTGAATTTATGTATAAAAACAATGGAATGCCTACTACCTGAGAGAAAAGAACTAAAAGGATGAGCATGGGCAACCCGATCTCAACACATTTAGCAACCTGAAAAGCCATATCAGGGACTTAAATCCAGCAGGTTCAAAAAACACTGAGGCGTGAGTAGCATATGCAGATGTAAGTGCTGAGGCATCTAACAAACAGATTGAGTCATTGGTTGTAACAGATACAGAGTGTCAAGCCAGAAGGACACCATGTTCTGCCATATTGATACATACCTGAGGAAAACCAAGCTGATACAGACCAAACCCAACCAACCCCACCAGAGGAGCAGCCGAAAGTGGACTCAAGAACCTACAAGACAGGAAACAAATACATTAATCAACAAGGGGCCAGCCTAATCAAGAACCAATAAATCAAAGAATTCTTGTAGTAGACGTCTTTAACAAAATCACTTTAAGATTAATGGCAATGACAATTGAAATTAAATAAAAGAAATTAGGCAACCAAATGACCTACAAACAGGTAAATTAATGAAAATTACCAATGTTAGATAAACAGTAGAACTCATTAATTCTGCAAAAGAAATGTCCACCAACCTCACAACATTGCGCCAGAGACCACTGAAACCTAAGACAATTTGAAGTGTTGAAGCAACAATAAGGGCACCCTGAGTGGCCCTCATCACCTTCTTAAATCTCTGCATGAAAAGTAAACAAATTGCAGGTTAGGATGATATTCTGCATATCTCAGTGAATAATATTTTTTTTCTTTTCGGTTATTCATCCCACTATTTGGGTTAGCAGAGAAGATGCTCAGAAGCTATTTTTGCCCAAACATTCTCCAGATTGAAGGAAATTTTCCAAGATGATTATATGAAAATAAATAAAGCTGATAACTTGTGAAGTAGCATATATGACACTGGTTATTTTTAACAAATAGATTGATCCATAAGCACTTTTGTTTCTTCTCTCTCATTTTTTACTTTCTTGTTGCATCTCATTGCCCCAAGTACATGCCTCAACCCCACTGAGACTCCCAACATCAACATAGATGGATTTAGATAACACAGTCTGGCTTGACATACAAGCAAAACTGTGCAATGTATTGGACCTCCGCAAAGTGTTTAACAAACATTTCAACAGCGAAACTGAGTTTTCACCCTAAATTTTATAGAATTTGAAACACGGACCGAAACAGGATCTTGATCACTACTCCATCGGCCGGAAAGGATGATGGAAATTGTTGGTGCAACAAAGGTATACGAGCCCCCAATAACAGCAGGTAATCTTGTGCCAAATGTTGTTTGCAGCAATGTGTTTAATCCAGCAACAAAGAGTACTGTCTGAATAACTTTGGCTTTCTCCTCCTAAGGTCAAGAAAAATCCGTATCATGAGATAAAATCCTGATTAGAAACATAAGAGGAATTTGTTAAACGATGAAACTAACAAAGAGATCTCACATTTCCTCCCCCCATCTGAGGAACCAAAGCAGTAGGGATGATAACAGTTGTTCCGAGCATCACCAAGTAATGTTGAAAGCCAAGAAGTATTGCTTCAGCTGCATGAAACAAATTCCCACATGTTAAAAGTATCATTCACTCTATTTAAACACGATCACAGCGAATTTTCATTACATCAACTACAACAGACACAATCACAAAGGACCCCAATACAGACAATATTAACAAAGAACAGCAATGCAAATTCCTGTACTACAACTAAACTTATGAACTGGGTTTTGGAAAGATGCAACACAAAAGTTCACTTTAAGAGATTTAAAAACTCACACAAATTTGAAACCTACAAAGCGGCATTGAATTCTTCATTTCTCACCAGGGAAAAAGAAAAAACAAGAAGAAATGCAGCTTACATATATTTAATTGACATTTAAGCTCTGTGTCTCACTTAATTTACCACTTCATTTCCCTCAAAATAAGTATTCCCAGGTAACAAGTAAAACAGTGTCACACCAAAAACAGTAAAGCTTTCAAGTGACCAGGAGCAAATGGGTTCAGAGGTGAACATGCCTGACACGAATTAACTTCCACAGGCACGAATATAGAACCCACAACCCAAAAAAAGGAGAAAACAAACGGAAGAATTAGTAACTTCCATAAACGAATATTCACCATTTCTTACCAAACGTAACCCAGAAAAAGTACTTAAACAGAGTGACTAATTGCAACTGTCAACTAAAAAAAAAAAAAAAACAGTGATAAAGATAGAAAGAACACTCACGCCAAGGTGGAGGACTCGTAATGCAGTAAGAAACATTTGGAAGCTGATCTTTAGGTGGATGGGGCGCCGGCTCATCTGCCTTAGCTGCTGGAGCTGCACCTCCTGCCATGACAGTAAAACTCTTCCCAAAAACTTTCTAAATTCCCAGCAAAATACTACTCACCAACTCTGCACCAAGACCTCAAAATCTGCAAAAAACGGGAAAAAAAAACCCAGATCAGAAACAGCGAAGAAACCATGAAAAAATGCAGTGAAACAGAAAAAAGGATAAAAAGGCACAAGCTTTAAGAGTACCCAGAAAGTGAAAAAAAAAAAAAGATGAAGATGAAGATTGAAGAAGGAGGAGCAAAAAGAGAAGAGAGATACTCAAAAGTTATGGAGGTACCCTAAAGAAGCTCAATCACCAAAGTGAGGACAAGCATAACACTGAATTGATTGATACTAAACAACAACCCACATGTGGTACCACCGCTCCCCTCTTAGTGTTTTATATGTGAATTGTTGTTGTTAAACTATTACGGCTTAAAAAAAGAAAGGTTAAAAAAAAAAAAACAACAATTAACCCAATAAAAGGTGCCTGCTAGAGAAAGCGAAACCTTAACAACTGATGAGTTAAAGTTGAGTGAGTGAAACTGTGTGTGTGTGTGTGAATTGGAGAAATGGGAAAGTGATAAAAACCATCAAAAACCCAGAAAAGAAAAACAAAAAATTCGCCAGAAAAGCCTGGAAGTTAGGCTCTTGAGGGTATATTTCTTAATTTAATAAAGGAGGCTAAATTGACATAAGAATTTTCTTTTGTTTAAGACATTCATCTTATTTTTGTCGGTTAATAATTATAAAATTATTTGCATTTTGTTTCCGACGTAGCAGAGCTCCTCAACTACCTCTTGTATTTAATGTTACTTTTGCTAATATTTTATAATACTAGTATAATCTTTGTCATCTAGGATTTTTCCGTACATAATCACGGTTCAAAATAATTGTGCTACTTCCAATACTAATTTAAATTTTAAGATGATATGTAATGCACCAATTTTGTACATTAACCTTTTTGTATGTAATCTTTGCTATTTGCGCCATTTAAAGATTGCCAAAAAAAAAAAAAAAAATCCCAATCTTATTAACCTTTTGTTATTTTTATACATACTATACTTCATTTAGTTCAAGATATAAGTAGTTTTAGATTCTAAAAAATATTTTAAAATATAAATCGTGGTAGGATTTCAGGACAAATTAATGATTAACTTTTCAACGTTACCCTCAATAAATAATACTACTTTTTTTTCATTTTGTCTTATTGATAATTTCAATACATTTAATGATCGGTGTGAAAGATATTTCACACAAAAATTTATTGGTAGAAAATTTACGTATAAAATTTTTTAAGTAACTTATATTTTGAAATAAAAGAAATAGTAATAATAAAGAACACTTATGAAAACCAAGAAAACTAAACCACGAGATACAATTAAGACAGCTAAATGAAGTAGGGGGCGCATTAAAGTCAACAAATTTATCAAAGACCCACAACACCATTGGAAAAGTTCATCCATCAAAAAGGGATTTTGGAGAGAGAAAGAAAAAGGAGAAAACTTTATAGAAAAAGGATTCTTCTTTGTTTTGCAAAAGCCAAGAAAGAAAAAAGAGTTTTAGACCAAAATAAGGGAATAAAAAAATTTGTGAAATAGTAAAAAGGACTTTTTATAGAGATGTGTGTGCAGAAAATATGCAAAAGATAAAGGATAGAATTGGGAACCATTATTTTTAAATGCTAGCTTTTGCCTTAAGGCATGCATTGTTCCCCTTTTGCTTTTATTTTATTTTCTCTCTCTGGACAGTAAAAAGAGGAAGAATATTTATCACTAAATTCCCAGGAATCTAGTATTAATTAAATACTACTAGCTCTTTGATTGTTAATTAATTAATATTTAAGTGTGGTTTGTCCCATTTGATGTTACATCCGTTTTGTTTTTTTTCTTATCTGCAATTACAGTCTATTCCTGACTCACTGGAATTACATCTGATTTTTAATTAAAGCTATTCAAAAAGTTTTGCTTAAAATTATTCCTTCCACCTCATCTTTAATTCAGTTTTTTTTTTACAATAAAAGAAAACAAATCTAAAATTACACATTAAGTAAACCAGCAATAATAGAAATAATGACAAATATTTAGTGATACACAATATTTAAAAATAAAGTTATAATTTTAGAAGAAAAGATAAAATTTTAACTGCAGAGTATCAACAAAATAGAAACGTATTTTCACTACGCATATTATTTTCTAAGAAAAAAATATTTTGTGCATAAAAAATAACAAATTATAATTCAACAGTTACTTAGTTGCAGGAATGTTTTATAAATTTATTCGTTTAGTGGCTTAATTTAAGGTAATGGATGTGACGCTACGTCGGGGGTGTGGGGTGGTGGTGGTGGGGAACTGTAATAAATGTGAGTTTTTAGATGTGGACTGCACTTGCTGCACTATTAAATGGCTCCAATGCCCCTCCTCTTAACTCTCACATATACTATTCATTTTGGGCACTTTTAACTTTATGGTAAATTAGAATTCTTTTCATTTCAGAAAAATAAAACTTTTATGTTTATGTTGTTTTTTTAGTGTAAGTTTTTAAGTATTTTTTTTTATCAATTATGTAAAAAATTATATTGAAAATGTAAAAAGCTATGTTAGAATGAGACAATTATTACTCAAAAATTGTAAAAAGAAACCATTAGAAAAACCAACCAAACGGAATTACAATGTCTATTATTTTATATTCTTATTGTTACAATGTAAATAAGAATTCTTGCTGTTATAATCACTTTAGAAATAATTCTTATTTTCCACTTTCATCATTCAGTCTATTATATAGTTTTTCTAGATGATGTATATATATATATATATATATATATATATTTCAAAAAAATAACAATTCATTTTGTTTAAAAAATAATTCACATTGAGTTTTGATATTTGTATTAAGAAAGACTTACTCAGTTCTAAAAAAAGTTCACATTAAGTTTTGCTATTTGTACTGGTTTATTAAAACTCAATATACGTAAACTATTTTTTTAAGATAAAAAAGTAGCATAAATCTCAAAATTTTGATTTGAACTATTTTCTTTTTTAGATGGAAGGAGTACATGAGGTTATTAAAGTAGTGAGTTAGATTATGAACCGCTTTCACTTTATTTTAGGGATGTATTTGACGTGGAACTTATTTCTAATGATTGAGGTTCAACTAGACAATTAAAATCGTCTAATCAGGTGGATTTTAGATGGCTACAATTAGTAAAAACTTATTCATAAAACAAATTATTAAAATGGAACATGGTAGTACTTTTATTCCCAGGGAATCACAAGCCCCATTCATATATAAATAATTGCAGTTGCTAGATCATCAATTCGATTCATCAGTCACTTAATCATCCATTTAATTGGCCAAGTAAATATTCCTTTTAAGTTATGCACAAAGTTATTAGGAAATTATGTAGGAAAATCTCTTTGGCTTTTTTTTTTTGTGAGAAATTTGGTGCATGGTGGTAAAATCCTAGAATATTTCTTGAGTAAGTTAATAATCCTAGCATATTTTTATTTCCCCTGGAAAAATAAGTATTGAAGCAACAACTTCTCTCTAAATATTATTGTGCCGCCCCCCCCCCCACAAAATAGGAAAAAAGAATTATTAAAAAAAAAGTACAATCTCCAAAATCTTGATGATGAAAACGAATCTGGAAAAGTGAGTAATTGACTATGCGAGTTTGATGCACTAAATCATCTTTACTTGAGAGAGGAACACCTTAATCATTAATAAATTACCATAAAAAAAGGTGGTGACTATGAACCAATTGGTCCCTACTAAGTTCAATTGTAGGAGAGTGATGAATATACAATTGGATTATAAAAAGTTGGGCTTGTTTTTAAAAAATATGATTATTTAAATTTTACTTTGTTCTCAACAAAAAGAAACCCAGAAATTTTACACAATTTAAATGAAAATTTAGCTTAAATATGATACATAATAGTTCGGTGAAAAAATAAAGACCAAGAAATTCAGCAGAGCTAATGATTCAACAATTAGGTGTTGTTGACCCAAACTTGATTATATCAATCAACCATCATACCGTCCATTCATAAACAATTAGGATATGATGGATATCCCACAAGAAAGAGAGACACAAAATGTCAAAAACGAAAAAAGCAAAAACCAAGAACACCGACACCCTTATGCCTTTGTTCTTGTTCTACCTTCCAGTCCTCCACTGAAGAAACTTCTTATTGTTTTCGATTGGATTAATTTTTCTTCTTTAACTTTGACTAGCTACCCAAATTTATAGCAGTAATTTTGGAGGTTTGATTGAACCTTCAAAAAAGTTATTGTTATGGACCAATCAAATTTCGGAGGAACTGTAGTTTTGAACTTTGTGCTATTGCAAAAAATGTGCATAAATGAGCTAAGATCGTATGGCCTGATGCGTAACGAAAACCATCAATATATCTAATGCTCTTTTCGAAGAACATTTGGTATGTAAATGTAATTGAGATAAATGGAAATTTGAAGAACAGCTGTTTTTCCTTTTTTCGTATAGTGTCAAGCTGAAGGAAGAGGTAATATTTAATTTAACGTGTGAATTTCTCAAAAGTGCTGTCGGCTTGGAGAATAAATAACTAATATGAGAATAAATAACTAATGGTATTAGTTTTTGTGAAGAAAATTGAGGTGACGATTTTGGTGACTTGTGTTTGTCATTTTAATCGGCTGAAATGCTTGCTGACATCTTCTTTGATGGCAAATTGTAAAAGCGGTTTGGTGAAATTTTAGCTAATTTTAAGTCACTATCGTACCTGAAAAGTTTTGCATGACGTCTTTTATTACCCTTTACAATAATCCGACACGCCTTTTTATTTTAAAATTTTTATAATATTTAAATTCTAACACAACAATATCTACATGTTAGAAAAAATGATATTCATAGTAGAAACCAAAAAAAGGTAATCCGTTTTCTGTTGACACTTCCCTAATAAAAATTATATATTTTTCTTCCCAAAATTACACTCACCTTTAACTATTATTTACATGCCTCTCACTAGAAACTACTACTCTCTTTATATTAAAAGTAAAATCTCAAATTGGACAATAATTTTAGGACGAAGGGAGTACTATGTTTGTTTTTCCACTGGCTGAATCACCTTAAAGCAAACAAATTCACGCGGTTCAAAGACAAAAGGTTATGCCCCCTTGAATTTTCACTGAATTCCCAGAAATGAGATAGAGGATCGAAAAATTTGAGTTACCGAATGATAAACATGTAATTTATCTAACCATATTTCTTTATGGACCATGTGATTCTCTAATTTTACCTCTTCAATCGCTCTCTGAATTGTTATATACCAGGAAAACTATTGACAATCAGGCAAAAGCACAAAGAGCAAAAACAATTTCTCCCTTTTCTAAACTAATTGGAAAAAGGAAAAAACAAAAAACAAAAACAAAAACATTTCGTTCCTTCTTCATTCTCTAATGAGCTCTTACTGGTATTACAAAACTTTCCACTGATTTTTTTGTGGATATGTATTTGCTCCGGGTGAAGCCTTAGCAATGCCACTAAATGCAAACCCCATCGATCGGATATAAAATCATGCAGGTTCTAGCAATGGCATGCTACACTGTATTCTCATCCCTAACATAGTAGCATCCAAATGATACCCATATATTGCTACCATTACAGAATTCTCTTCTATAATAGGGGTTACTCTACTCCCCTTTTAGCAACCCAACTTCAAGAAAAGTTCAAATACAAAACAAGTAGGAGGGGCATCCAAAGTGAATTTCTCTTTTATTCTGCCAAAATATATTGTTAATCCACTCCAAGGAGTCTCTCGTATAACCTCTGCAACTTGTTATCCTAATCAACATCCTACTAGCTAATTATAGTATGTCTATCGCATGATAAAGACTCGAATCTACCAGGGTCATGATAGGAAAATGTGAACTATTGAAGCATAAGCAGAAGGGCTCAGGAAAAACAAACCACACTTGACATCCTTGGGTATTAAAGCAAATCATGTTTCCAGTCATGTCTTGAGATCGTCTGACATAGCAGATGGTATACAATGAGTTTTAAGTATGTCCAAAGTTGCCGCTTTTGCACCCTTCGTCTGAAGGACCACAATCTGCATTAAGACAGAGAGGGCGCGATAAAAACACCAACCACTTTAACCCACAAACCAGAGTAAAGAGTTAAAGGTGGAAGGGAAACTACCTGTTGATATTCCAAATCAAATTGCAAGAACTCATCATTGCAGCTCTCTACCATACTGGCTAAGCTCTTCAAATTTTTAACAGGCTGACCGTTGAAAGCCAGGACCTAAAAGAGACAAGCAAGATTTACAGAATACTTCAGCCAAAAAAAAAAAAAAGGTATGATTAAATGCTAAACTATATCAACCACCAAAATAGAGCCTCCAACCTGGGTGTTCACAATGTCCTCGTACCCAATGTTGATGTCTGCCACAAGAACCTGGGAGACTACAACAATTTGTTCATCCGGAGTTTGCGGCAATTCGTGCAAGAGTTTGTCCAGAAGCTTGACTGGAGCTTCATATTCATAGTCCTTCCCATACTGCAGCGTACAAGCAATGACAAAAATGAGTTAAAAAGAGAAAGTATTCTGACAAGTGTAAATGTTGTGTTGTAAAAGATAAATTAACCAGTTATTTATCTACAACAATTGATGGAAGTATGGAAGTTAAAATCTATTCTCCTCTGAACCAGCAAATACAAAGACCTAGTTCCAGGTTGACAAATATATGTCAATCCTGACTCAAAATTCAAACAGTATACTGATAAACTGGTCCACTGCGATCTCAAAGTGATTTATGGAGTAGCAACAATAGTAAGAAGTGGTCTCAGTTCCCAAATAATAATGAGTAGAGCATTTGCAAATCCAAAGATATCTCTACAGCTTGGGAATATAAACTTATTGTTGACCAACAAGGACTAAATAACCAATTGCATAAAACATAAGCACCTCGGATCGTAGATATGGGACAGATACGGTTGTAAAGACAAATCCAGCGACGATATAATACGAAGGAGGTTGGCCTTTGTTATGAGCTGGGATCAACCTTCTGTGCGTAGAAAGTTTAATGTTGTATTTGATAGTTTGAGAATTGCGAAGAACCTTAATTGCTGCGGAGTCCCCAGTATATTTCTGCGATATAAGGTAACTGAATCCAATTCGTTCTCCATGCCTAAATGGAACTGATAAATAAAAGCAAGTTAAACTTAGAACTGATAGAATGCACATACAAAAACCACAACCCAATCAACATTGTAATAAAACAGTGGAAGTAGCACTTTGTCTGAATGGACAAAGTCATTAAAAATTGTCTAATATTCGAGAAATTACTGATACACGACATGGATTCTAACAGTCAGCTCGAACATGACATCAGAACTATCTGCACCAAAAATTCTATTTTTCGTCCATATGTAGCAACTTAGAATGGAGAAATACTAAACAACATGATAATATCAAATAAAACACAGCAGCTTAACCTACAGAATTCTTGAATGCAATAGAAGGAAATGCTCATCATCAGAAGCAATATCAGTATACAGTAAAACGACAACCTCTATTTGTGGTGGTGGTGTATGTGGTTATTGAAACATTGATTGCCAAACGAATTCCTAAAGCTCACCATCTCTTATTTGTTCAACATAAAAGATGTACGTTATGCTCAATCTGAGTATGGTATGTATGCGTCTAAGTTCTACCTTTTCTTTCAAAACAATGCGAAATGCCTCAGCTTTTAAAAAATCAGTTGCGAGTGTTACACCAGCCATAGCTTCCTTCTTTTTCTTTTTAGTAAATGTTTAGCAACCTGATGTAAGTCTTTATATTGCGCTCCACAATTTGTATACATTATAATGATTTATCGAAGAAAAAAAAAACTGGATTTTAAAAATTGATAAGATAAACTATGATCATATTGGACAAGGATCGAACATCAAAATGAATATGGTTCCATGAAATTCAAAGAAATCAAATAGGAATTATAAAAGGAACTCTGAATAAGATAACAAGAAATATAGGATCAAACAACATTTATCAAATTTGAGAAAGAGTAAAAAGATAGAATTTGATCCTCTTACATTAATTTTTTGAATCAACAGATCCATACTTCTGGAACATGATGTATACAAAGGAGACATGCACATTCTAATGTGTCAAATTCCACCAAGCCTAAACAAGGAAAGGGTCTTCACAAGCTTCTTAATTAATATGAAATTTTTCTTCTTTTTTTTTTTTAAAAAAAAATTAGTGACAGTTTTTATCAAAGGAAAGGATCAAGCTTCACAAATGAAACTACCTAATAAGTTATGTATGAGTACATTCCTTTTGGTACATATTGTCTTGGACACAAGACACTACACATTCAATCTACAGTCATTCTGCAATCCCGTTAAAGTTTCAACAATTAATTTTTCTAGGGAGACCAGTATAGACGCATAATTTATGTAAATGCAAACAAAATAACTATAGTACAAACAAGTCCCATAAAGGATCCATATATGCATTCTTGAGCTAACTGTGGTTTGAAAATTAAAGAATGAACATAATCATAGGAATTACCAGTTCCATCATTAGCAATGTCAACCCCATCAAAGCTGAGTATGATATCTGATGGCTTCAAAACATTAGATTCAGGAGCGGTGGGATCAACCCTTCTTATTCGAACACCCTTCTGATCAGTTTTCATTCCCATTGCTAACCGTAAATCTGGATTTTCCATCTTCTGCCACTCCACCCCAAGAATAGGGAAACCTGAATCAGAAACCAACAATGAAAAAAAGACCAATGTCGAAACATAGAATCCATGCAAATGCAAACAAAATAAGTACTAGTACGAAGAAATCCCATAAAGGAGTCGATATGACCACTGTTGACATAAAAAAAGGGAACAATTTTGAAAGCAAAAGAAATGCAAGAAACAGCTGTATTCCATGCATTATTTCTAAAATCTTCTAGTAAATTAAATCTTGTCTATTTAACACCGTCCTGAGTTAAAAAATCTACCAAATACTACTCTATCCTTGCTCCAAAGAGGAAATATCAGTTCAAATCAGAAGCAAAATGCAGACTCAGCATTCAGCTACAGGTCACTCACAACGCAAAATAATGCAATTAACTAAAGCCGGATCAGAGAGAATTAGAGGTTCCAGACATATCGTATGCAGTATTTCGATACGGCCCATAACTGCCATGTCCAATAATTTTATCAACACAAATTGCAGCAAAACAATCTATATCATGTGAAAGAAGAACTGCATTGTAATTTCAATTACATTTCTGTACCTTGTTTAAGAAAAAACTTAACCTTCTCTGGTGAAATTACATCATTTGTTTCACCCCAGAATCATGCCAACCCATAAAATTCATGCAAATATTCATTCTTAAGCACTTAGATTTATAATTCGTATGAAAAATTGGCCATTAAAAGCAAAGATAACAGTAGAAAAATGTGGGCACTGCATTGAAATGCAGTCGTCACGAAGGAAATCAAGCACTAATCACTATTGAGTCCCAAAGTTGTATGAACATAAGGCCGGATATGTGGTCCACTTAGTATACATAATTTAAATAATAAAAAAGGAGCAGTGCGACTTTTGAATCAAAGCAATAAACTGAAGGTTTCCCAGCTTTGGTTGTTTAGCCACTAAGCAGGATAAATAATCATCTTCTGGTCATTAAAATTATTAGATCAAGAGGGCCACTAGTGCATAAAAGCTCCAGCAAGCCCAGAGTTCCTCGACAGGTTAGGCCATCGAGACCTAGCATAAGAAAATGTATAGAACATACAAGCAAATGTACTTCCTCTGAAACGGTGCTTCACCACCTTGAACCCATGACCTTAAATGGAAACAGCTATTACTGCTGTCCAAGGCTCCCTTCATTGAGTTAAAATATAGTTGGTTCCCATAAATTGTTAAGTTTGATTTAATTGGCTAGTGTTATCACTAAAAGAAACATATCAATGAAACAGGCCCTATTTGCAGACATATAAAGGGACCACACAACCAACAAAATCCCCAAGATTTAATTCTTGGGATATGGACCTAACAGCTGAGCACAAACTTATACCGTATCACCGATTTTTCGTTGACTTTTACAACATTTACAGAAAATGATACAGATTCACAGGAATCCAGCTCAGACCTTATTTATTGGGAGGAAAAATAAATGGTTAATTGACTATGTCGTTCTCATTATCACAGAAGATTGCCTGTGCCCATTGTAAACCCGTTCATCATCAACTATATGCAAGGAAGATAAATGACTAGAGCACACTGGACTTGACATTCCAAAATATCAAATCCTGACATAAATGACTAGAGCATATTTCAGATGAATTCGGCCCCCTGTACTACTTAACTTGACAACACTTGCACCTATTTCTTCAGTAACAAATAAATGCAATAGGCAGAAAATGTAAAGATCATACAAGCAAATGTACTTCCACTGAACTGTGAAATTTGAAATAACAATCAGTCAAAAATATACTTCAAGTACAAATGTCGCATTAGCGAACTGCCAATGTTTAAGAGGACAAAAAAAGAAGAGAACAAGAGAAAGAAATACTAATAATCATGCACAGAGAACAAAACTTACCGGTGTATGCACCATTCCTCTCATAGTCTTCAATGAAGTGCATGATGACAGGTGTGGGTATGACGTAACCTATATTTTCTGCATCTTCATGTTTGAGGGACTGAAATGCAATACCCACACAGTTACCTCTATCATTGAATGCAGGACCACCTGAATTTCCAGAGTTAATAGCAGCATCTATCTGCATGGATCCCCATACACATTACCAGTTACAACGCCAACCAATTATCCAGTGTTATTTAGCAAGTAATAGACAGAAAAAGACCACAGCGCCCAAAGAAAGTAAGGGAAAAAAGGGAAAACCTGTAACCCAAGAAGTTCAGTGGATCCATGGACATAAGACAGGATCTCTATACGCGAGACAACACCACTCGTTACAGATATCGTATCTCCCCCTATTGGATAACCAACAACTGTGACTGCATCCTGCAGAGCAGGCAAATCCCCGAAGTCCACAGGAGATACCCCTTCCCAGAATTCATCATCCTCCACCGCAAGCATAGCTGTAACGTCACGAACAAACCAAATGATTACCATGAAGGAAAACTGATTCAGAAAGAAAACTCATATACATTATCCAAATAATTTTCTAATGTGAGAGATTCCAGCACAATGACGGTCTACAGTCATCCTAATGAAACTTTCCTCGAAGTAGTTTTCAGTTTTGCAAGTTTCCCCCGTGGTACTTTATGGAAGCGAAGTGTTTTTAGAGTTTTGGACTGAAGTGGTAAATAACAGAAATTTGCATCCCAAATTAAGATATGCCAAAAGCCTCCCTTCATTAATGAAAATTCAAGGGAATAATCTTTTTCTATACATGAAAAAAAAAAAAAAATCTATATTCAGCAGATCATTTCTCTTCATATGGTTACAAATTATACGTTAAAATAATCCATAACAAGGTATAATGCGCACATCTTAAGTTTTCATCCCAAAGCACCTTTAACCACTTTGCAATTGTGTAGCACCCTAGGGAACAGATCATTTTGGGAGTTGTAACCCCTCCAGGAAGCAAGTGACAATCGCAAACCCACACAACAAGGGAAATTTCAACTTTAACTCCCAAATTAGCTGCATTGGAAGCCACAGTTAAACCCAACCCAAGAGAGGACTATACAGTCCAAGTATAACTGGGAATTACTAAAAAAAAAAAAAAATGGCATTGCGGAGAATAAAAACCAAAGGAGACCAACAAGCTAGGAAAAGGAAAGAACAAAACTTTGACATCCAATCAAGATATGCAAAATGATCATCTCAAACTACATTAAACCAAAATTCAACATCAACGCTGTCAATCTTTCTCAGGCAATAACAAAACTTTCAACCATGTCTATCAGGTAAATAATAATAATAATAAAAAATAATCTTACCGATATCACATTCAGTACCAATGGCGAGAACTGTGGCAACATACTTAGTATCAGACCCTCTCTTTTTCAGCTTAACCTGTGTATAATGTTCTACAGAATGGGCATTCGTCAAGACCCTCTTCCCTTTAATCACAAAGCCACTACTACTCGAACTATACTGCCTTTTCCGTTGCCAAGGAAGGGAAAAGTTCGGCTCAGTGTGAACGCAAAACACTTTAACAACTGCATCCATTGCCGGGACCACCCTCGCCACGGCCGCCTCCGCAACCGCCGCTGCAGCGGACATAAGAGAAGCGGAACCGTTCTGTTTGTCCAGAAGAAGGCGAGGTGGGGAACCAGCTCTTAGGGTTTTGGGGTCTGAGGACGGTGCTTTAGCATTTTTAGGAGGGCGACCTCGCCGGCGGCGGTGGTGAGGATCGACTATCTCTACGTTGCCGAGGGAGAAGACGGCGTCGTCAGATGCTGCGGTAGTAGGACTAGAGCTCGAACCGGCGCCCGTTGCGGTGGTGTTGTCTAATTCAAGGGCTTCCGGTTGGGAGTTTTTGGGTTTTCTCCCACGTTTCCGTTTCTGTCCAACCATAATTCTTCCTCCGACGGGCAACTAGGAGAATTCCGGTGTGGCGTGTGCGTGTGCGTGTGTGTGTGAAATGCAGAGAGAAATGGCAGGAGGGAAAGAGAGGGAGATTTCAATTTGGAGAGAACCTTTGCTTGCGTAGAAGATTTATTTGCAGAGGTTATTTTATTGGAAACATTTACCAAAAGTCTCCTGTAATTTTGCCAAACTACAGAGACTTCTCACCATTTGGTATTTATTACTCACTCTGTCCCTCTTGTTTAATAAACTACTCCTTCTCTCCGACGGGCAACTAGGAGAATTCCGGTGTGGCGTGTGCGTGTGCGTGTGTGTGTGAAATGTAGAGAGAAATGGCAGGAGGGAAAGAGAGGGAGATTTCAATTTGGAGAGAACCTTTGCTTGCATAGAAGATTTATTTGCAGAGGTTATTTTATTGGAAACATTTACCAAAAGCCTCCTGTAATTTTGCCAAACTACAGAGACTTCCCACCATTTGGTATTTATTACTCACTCTGTCCCTCTTGTTTAATAAACTACTCCTTCTCTCCCAAAAGGATAGTACGGGATGGACGGAGTATAAAACTAGATAATCATTTTCAAGACAAAATAGTTTAGTTCGTTTTGTACTTAAGATCTAAAACATATTGAACTATGAGATACCTTACGTGTCATATTCGGACTGTCACATTAATTTTTACATATATACAGTCAGCATAATAAATCATAGTAATAAATTAGAAAAACATAAAACCAAAAAGTAAAAATTTATCATTTAAACGAAATAGAAAAACTTTAAATGAAAATTTATTCAAATTGATGCAATTTGACCTAAATTGTCTCATAAGAAAAGACTATTTTAAGCAAGTTTGTCCGGAATACTACTATCAATCATAAAACAAGATACCATGTGCATTCCTATGTAGAAAGACAATATATATAATCAGAAGTCACATTTTTTTTGTTATTTTGAATTTGAAAAGAAAAAGTCTAGAAAGACAATATATATAACATCAGAAGTCACATTTTGTTGTTATTTTGAATTTGAAAAGAAAAAGTCTAGATCAATGAAAAATTTTTGTTACAAAATGATATATTAATTGTTCAAAATCAAATAAAACAAAATAATTATATGAGAGAACATTTTTAATAATTTATATGCGCTCCCATGTGACTTTATTTACCACTAATAAAATGAGCACTGTCTCACTGTTTATATTAGAAAAAAATACTGAACCTCTATGGGTAAGATTATAAAAAAATTTAAAATAAAATATTTTCCTTATATTCAAATTTAGGGACTTTAACGCCAGTTTTACTCAAACAACTGCCAGAGAAACAATAAAATTTAAATCGCAGCGTAGTTGAAATTTTTACATCTAAGTATCAACTTAATATTGTATTCTAACATATTCTCTGTAACGCACTGGAAAAAATCTAGTAAAGATTATAATTTCACAGCTCACCGATGATATTACATAATTAAAATAATAGTCCGAAACATTCGCCAAATGTCTACGAAAACATTCATCATTTGTCAATAGACTCTAGCCATAGGAAATCCCACAATAAAATTCTATTTATCTCCTTATAAACCTCCATAACCATGCAAGAGGTTTACTAGTACTCAAAATGTTGATTGATAGTTTGATTGAATGCATAATTTTGGAGAAAGATAAATCAGTAACTTGCAAGAGCCTGGCTGTCAAAATGTAAGCAAAATCATTTCAACTACTGGTCTACTATTTGTCAAGATTTTCATGTGACTAATTAAACTACCTTTAAAGGAAAGTAAACAAAGTTATTTTAATATGTTTAACCAATTTGAGGACGTGTTAATTTAATCGTGGACAATGTGATGTGGTTCATTATATAGCATTATCACGTGTCAATTTAAGAGGAAGCTACAATTGAAAGGTCTATTATATATATATATAATATGTTACATGCATATATATATATATATAATACACAAACACACACACACACACACACACACACACACACACACACACACCTAACATTATATAATAAGAAGATAAGTTCTTCAAATTTTACCTACTACTTTTATATATATATATATATATATATATATATATATATATATACACAATGTGGAAGCAAAAGGCTTAATTACACACGACTGCTCCTTAGATAAGGAGTGCCGGACCTATCTAATAACAAGCTAGTCATCAACGCCTCTGTGGGTTGTGTCAAAATATGTAACCCACAGGCCTGATGTAGTCTTTTCTTTGCTAGAAAGTCGGCTACACCGTTACATTCCCTAAAGATGTGAACAAATTCTACCGCCCAACTACGTTTGAGCAGTAGTCTAATCCTACGCATCAAATTGGACTAATAACCAACATCATCAATATTTAACAAAAGGGACACTGCCTCATAAGAGTCTCTTTCAAGAATTATACGGGTAAACCCTGATGAAGCAGCACATTTCAAGCCATAGTAGACCCCCCATAATTCTGCCTCAATGATCGGGCAAAAACCAACATTGGCGGAGAAGCCTGTGAACGAACCACCATGATTATCTCTGATGACCCCACCAGCTGCAGCACGTTGAAGTAGGGGATCAACAGCACCATCCGTATTAATCTTCACTATGCCTATGAGGGGAGGTTTCCAAGCAACGAACACCAAATTAGATGGGCCGCCAGCTGTTCTCCTTTTGAACCCTTCGTTCGCCCAATCTATTTCCTTCGCAACTGCATGTATCTTTAACACCAGCTCCATACCTTGGATAGCAATTGGCTCAAAAGTCTCCTCATTGCATACTCGCCAGAGTTTCTAGCATACCGTAGCGAACCAAGTCTTCCATGGGACTCGAACTTGCAAACCAACAGACACTAAGTTAGCTACTAACCAAGATTGGAGGTCTTGTTCCTCCCAAAAACCTGTCTCCAATGTCGGTTTGATCGCTTTCCATATTGTAACACTGCGTACACAGTCACGAAAGATATGCAACTCCGTCTCCAGGTGTCCACAAATGTGACATCTTCCATCGTCAATCATGTGGCGACGCAACCTCTCAGCATTAACCACTAAGGCTTTCCTCATTAACAGCCATAAAAAGAGTTTTCTTTTCTCCGGGCCCTGCCACTTCCAAACTAACTCCCATTTCTTGTCCTTGCAGATCCAGTTGCTTGAATATAGGGCTTGATAAGCTGAAGCTATGGTGCACTTTCCAGACGCTGTTAAACTCCACACCACTTTGTCTGGCCCCAAAGAGGCATCAGGTGGAGGGGTAGCCCTAATGCATAGGATGGCATCTTCTGGTAACCACTAGGATAACAGATTCCATCTCCAAACACCATTTTCATCCAAAAAATCCTCTATCTTCCTAAATTTTTCTGCATCCGGGACACGACCTCAAGCTTTAAGGATCAAAGGGTCATCTAAGGAGGTCCATCTATCAAGCCAAAATCGTATTTTCCTGCCATTCCCCATAGACCATTTAACGTTCCTGAGGACAACATCCCTACCCCTGCAAGTTGCTTCTAGAGGTGAGAGGAGTTTCTCTTCTTGATACATCTTGGTATTTCCTCAATAGAAATTCCATATTTAGCTCTCAAAATGGAACACCAAAGGCTGTCTTCACTACTAACAATGGCCCATGCAAGTTTGAGGATTAGGGCTGTGTTAGCTTCCTTCAACTTCCGAAACCCCAACCCTCCCCTGTCTTTTGGTTGACATACATCATTCCAGCCTACAAGGCTTAGTTTCCTTTTCTCCACTGTACCTCCCCATAGGAATAACCGTTGTGTTTTATCAATTGCATCACAAGTTCCAACAGGGAGTGCCGTCGATTGCATAAGGTAGTTAGGTATTGCTGCGAGAACCGACTGACATAACGTCATTCTCCCTGCAAGCAAGATTTTTCGAGGGTTCTATTTGGAAGTTTTATTGTAGACTTTCATCACTATATCATCATACATTGCCTTCGTTACTCTACCATGGATTATTGGAGCTCCCAAGGACTTCCCCAAGTCATCAACTAACTGCACTCCCATCGTTTGACTAATAGCCGCTGCTAGCCCACAATCAGTATTGGGAGATATATAAGACACCGATTTATCTAGGCTGATAGTTTGGCCTGACGAATCACAAAAGGCTGCAACCACCCTCCGTATCACTTGTACCTGCTCTATCGACGCTTTGGCAAACAGAATGAGGTCGTCGGCGAAGAAAAAATGAGAAAGAGTTTGTCTTCCCCGGCCGAAACTCATGGGTTTCCAATTCCCTCAATGCACTTCTTGGTTGATAACATGTGACAGTCTCTCCATATAGAGTACAAAGATATATGGAGACATCGGGTCCCCTTGTCTGACGCCCCTCGTGGGGTTTAATGGATCCCCGATAAGACCATCCCAAAGAACTTGAGTTGAACCAGTTGCAAGCATACTCAAAATAACATCTTTCAGTTTTGACGGAATTCCAACATCCTCCAAGGTGTCTGCAATGAACTCCCTCTTTATACAGACATATGCTTTATCTAAGTCAATCTTAAAGGCAGGCCATCCATCTTTTTTTTACCCTTCACAGTACGCATAGAGTGCACCGCCTCCTGGGCAACTACAATATTGTCGATGATGTTGCGTCCAGGTATAAAGCTGGACTGCAACGGTAGTGTGACCAGTGGCATAATGACCTTTAACCTGTTGGCATAATGACCTTTATTGGTCTGAAATGTTGGAACCTTTCTGGCCAAGTCGTTTTAGGGATGAGAGTGACTAAGGCTCTGTTAATGTCAGGCTCTACCTTTCTGGTTTGAAAAATTCCAGCAACCATGTTCCAAACAAAATGGCCAACTGTTTCCAAATTATGTTGGTAAAATCTCACATTAAAGCCATCAACGCCAGCTACCTTAAAAGGATGCATATCAAACAATGCAGCTTTAACTTCCTCCTACGAAATGTCCCTACTCAGAAGTGTTACATGCCGATCTTTCCAGAGGTGGGAACTGCTCTCTTACCTCATAAGGTATAAACTGATTTCGCCCACCTGAGTAAATACCTTCAAAATACTTTGTTGCCTCCATGCAAAGTTTATGGGGTTCAGAACACTAGGACTCGTCTTTCAACTGAATTCTTGATATTCTCTGCTTATATCGCTTTTCTTTATGCACTGCATGAAAAATCTTTGAGTTCTTGTCGCCTTGTGCCAATCAAATGGATCTGGCATTTTGCGCTCCGAGTAGCTCTTCTTGGGTAATCGTTCTTTCGTACTCCTCTCTTAGTTCCTGCTCAAGGTCTTGCAAATGTAAGGAGAAACGATAGGGCAACACCTTTTGAATTCTTGCTAATCTCGCAAGAATCCTATTCTTCCTTTTAACTAGGTCACCGAAGAAATTATACTTCCAGTCGTTAATTTTAAGTACCAAAGCCTACTGTGCACCTGGAAGTGCCAGACTATCACACCACTTGTCCCTTAACCACTGCTGCCAATCTTGATGCGATTCCCAAGCCGCCAGATATTTGAACTTCTTCTGTACAGGGAGCCCTGCATCTACTGGCTTGATTCTTATTAACAAAGGCGAATGGTCGGATGCCACTCTAGGGAGGTGTGCCACAAGAATATCTGTGGAAACCAACCTCCACGCCTCATTAGCTAAAGCCCTATCAATTCGTTCATGAACTTGGTGGTGACACCATGTGAATCTCTGCCCTACAAATCCCAAATCTATCATTTCAAATTTTTGGACCCAATCTACTACTTTTATTGACAGACGATAGAGTTATGTCATTAGCCGTAGCATTAAATATACTAATCAAATTGACATACAAACAAATTAATTAATTGAAAAATTCATAATCAAATTAAAAAATATCAAAGTTTGTTGATTAATATTAACTCCAAAATTTATTTGACCCATTAAATACAACTACACTATTAATTTAAAAATTCATTTACTTCCCTCTAACAATAGTAAAGACAACATTCATCAATATTCATCAATTGACGAAACCATACCAAACACAAAAATCACCAAATAAATCCTCCCCACCCCAACATGAAACTCTGGTCTCTCCACTCGCCATTCCCACCTATCACCTCTCACTCATTCTCACATAAGAATATAATTAGTCATGAACCTTCGGCGATAGACCTGAGTATATTTTTTTTTCAATATAATGTGATAGAAGTAGCAAAGCATCAATAATCTGATTGGCTTTTGATTAATTACAATCAATATAAGTATTTATTTGATATTATATTTGACTTTGATTTAGGCAAAGTTGAACCAGAGTGAACCAAGTGTAATGATTTAAAATTTTTAAAATTTCTTACATAATAAATAATTATCCTAATTAGGAAGATTAGGCAACTGCCGCAAAAGAAGGACAATGGCTAATATAGGAAGAGGCACCAACAACTAAAAGAGTTTCTATCAAAGTTTTAAACACTTTCTTACAAGATGTAATAGATAACAACAATCTGTTTGGAGAAAAAGTAGTTGGCTTCGGGAGAGACTTTAGGCAAGTTTTACTTGTAGTTAAAATGAGAACAAATTTCAACCAATGGATGCATGCTTAATCAATTTTCCTGTTTCGGCATCACTTGACAAGCTAAAACTTATAAATAAAAAACATGAGAATCCAGTTTGATCCAGCCTTCACTAAATTCTTACCCAGTGTTGGTGTTAGAATAGAGCTTTATTTGTATGACGGTGTCATTCATGTTCATTCATCGATGTTATTAGATGTCATTGATGAGACAAAAGCCTTGAATAAATTAACATCATTAGTACATCTACAGTTAGGTGACATCTCAAAAACAAGGCTATACTCACTACCAAGAACAAATTTGTTGATGACATTAATGAAGAGACTAGTTGGCTGACATGCTTCGCGAGTGCCCAGTTTAATGTATTATAAAGAATTACTCCGTGTGTGACTATCGATTGAATGAGAATCATGTAATAGATGTAATCAAGTTATTATTATTTAATTTATTAATCTACATACATTTGAAAACACACATACAACTTATGTAAGTGTATTTTTGTTGTTGCTTTTGTTACCTAATTGGCAAATAAGTTGGCTAGTACAATCATATTAGGAGAAACACTAAGTTTTTGTTAAATACCATTGTGCTCTCATTGGTGGGTGGAAATCCACAATTTGTGAATGTGAAATCTGTTGTGAATGCTGAAAATGTTACCAAGTTGATTCCCTTTTCAGTGATTATTTCCCTTGCACTTGGGATAGTAATCAAATAAATTGATATTGAAACGAATCTCAAGAATTGAACTATAGACATGTAAAAATAGAACAACATAAGCAAAGTAGAACGGAATTAAATTATTGTTTGCCAATTCTCCACCCACAACTTATCTTTCGAAATTTTATGAAACGGAATGAGATCTCTTATCATCATGAGCTGTTTGAGGATCGAATGAAATCACACCAAACTTGGCTTGATTGATTGGATTTGGGGTTGAAACGGAATTCATCTTTAACTTGAGGAATTTGAATCCAAGAAGGATGTGAACGCTTCTCACCAAAACAAAGATCATGAAAATTAGAGAGATGAGTTGAGTTTTTGTTAAATACCACTATGCTCTCATTGGTGGGTGGTAATCCACAATTTACGAAAGTGGAATCCGTTGTCAATACTGAAAATGTTACCAAATTGATGCCTTTTTTTTCAGTGATTGTTTCCCTTACACTTGGGACAACAATTAGATTGATTGATATTGAAACGAATCTCAAGAATTGAACTACAAACATATAAAACATGACACATAAGCAAAATAGAATTGAAGTATTGTCTGCCAAGTCACCACCAACAATTGATCTTTTCAAATTCTCTGAAACAGGATGAGATCTCTGATCATCATGAGGTGTTTGATGATCAAATGAAATCAAGACAAACTTGACTTGATCGATTTCATTTGGGGTTGAATCATAATTCTTCTTTAACTTGAGGAAATTGAATCAAAGAAGGATGAGAACACTTCCCCCTACCAGAAAATATCACAAAAATTAAAGAGATGAGTCGGGTATTGAAGAAAACCTCCATCCTCATTTTGTTTAGTGTTCTATTTAGAAAGACCATCACTTACGCGAGTGCTGAGAACACTCACGTGAGCGTTCAATTCAACTTCCCTTTTCTGTTTCATTTTAGTTCGGTTTTCCTATGATCTAGGTGGTTCAAAGATAGTCACTGTCATCCCTACGGATTCGGCCTGACTTGCTAGTTATCTACTAGTTTAAGTTGATTTTATTTTGGACGACTTGATGATAGTTGGTCATACCAATTTTGTTTTTATCAGGTTTAATGAGATGGATATAAGGAGAAATGGCGACATTTGAGACAATCTATTTGGTGCAATCTTAAAACTTTATTTCATGGTTTGCAAATTAGAAAAATCCATATATGATCTTGAATATATTTCTAGTTAATTATATTTTAAGTTTTATTAAGATTTTATCTCATATCATTCTGAGGTGAATATTGTCATAATTATACACATTGCAATTTCAGTGGAAGTTTGAGGCAGATAAATTAAGAATTTACATTTAGATATTAAATAACAGCCAAAAGGTTACGCAGTATCATTAAGGCATTAAGAATTATTACACGCTCAGATATCGAAGTTTGGTTCAATGAGAGATCATTCAGTATTCAACTTCGATTATGTTGATGCCCATAAATTTTAGATATGTTCATGTTATATCTATGTGATTATAGGAAAACTACTCTGGAAAAGTGTTATGAACTACTTATAGCTACTCCTATATGGAAATTGGGTACATGGCTTTTTTGGTTTACGCATCTATTTAAGAGTGATGCTTACAAATTTATAACAAGGCTGTAAATACGGTATGGTATTAAAAACACCATTAAAGTTATATTGTGATATATTTGTGACAGTAGTGCAACAAGTTGGATTTTCTAACAACAATTGACATAAAATGATTAGCTTTTAGATAAATATCCAAAATACAGTTTTTTTTAAAAGAGCACATTTGGACAAGCTCCATTATTGCAGATCACTTCACTTGAGGTCTTCATTGAGCATCCTGCTCAAGTGAGTGTTGTATTATCGGACAATTTAACAATTTAAGTAGGAGTTTGTAATTTTGGTTTTCTTTAAGGTTCATGTATACATGAACATTTGGAGATATATTGTAGTGTAAAGTATAAACATTTAAGGTATAAGGCTTTAGAGTTACTGTATACATTCTGATATTTGGTTGATCTTACTAACATATAAGAAGGACCAGTTGAAAATAGGCAAGTGAATATTATATTACATGTAATTTCCATGCTACAAATCGACATTTAATCAATGTCGTTTAATTATATTAACGTATGTGACCAATGATGTGTCTAGTTGGGATAATTGCGACGAAAGCTCCCTTGACCCTATGTTAATGTACTTAATGGACCATATTGTTAAAATGATTTTTATGATAGCAAATTTTTTTGAATATTCATAAGGTTTCCGGTATATACAGTTATAAGGTTTGTATAATGTGTAGTCCAAGTGGGAGATTATAAGATCTATTCATTGTGAACTTAACATTACATATAACTGATTGTATATTATATGTTATCTTAAGGTTTAACATTAAGTTATCTAATTACGGTTAAAGCGGCAAAACCACCAGCAGCAAAAACTCGTGCGTCTGTGAGACTTCTTAGTGATTCTCTTCCAAAGAAATCCCAATGAATAGCTATCTTTTTTGGAATATAAGGGGCATAGGGAACAAAGCATCACAACGACGACTTAAGAATTTGGTTAAACTTCACTCATTGTCGCTCATTGTTCTATTAGAACCAATGCTATCTATATCTCAAGTTGAAGCTTTGAAACTGAAACTGAATTTTTCATCTATGCTGGCTACATCAAATAGTAAAGCATGGATCCTTTGCTCAAAAGAATTGATTTTGAGGTTGTTGGAGTCTTCAGATCAAGCTCTCCACGTGGAAGTTGAATGTGTGAAAAGCTCTCAGAAATTTTTAATTTCAGCGGTCTATGCTAAGTCGACGCGGATCGAACGGAAGGAACTTTGGCTAGAACTCTTGCGGTTTCAACAGAAAAATCAGGGAATCCCATGGATGGTAGGGGGAGACTTCAATATCATCAGGAGCCTTGATGAATATAAAGGGAACTCGCGGTCAGACCAGGTTTCAACAGACGACTTCAACACATGGATTAATGATTGCTGTTTATTTGAGTTAACTCCTCTTGGAAATCTGTTTATTTGATCCGGAAAGAGATGGAATGGTAAGGTATTAAAATGGTTAGACAGGCTGCTATTCAACTTAAAGTGGCTGGATTTGTTCCCAATTTCATCAGTGCATCACTTAAGTCGAACTACATCCGACCATTCACCCATCCTTCTCTAATTCCGTGGTGATGAAGTTTCAAGGCCGACTATGTTTCGTTTTCAACGCATGTGGATACGAAGAGACGGTTTCATGAGTTTGGTGAGGGATAACTGGAATAAACTAATTGATCTATATGGCATGCTTGCTTCCTCACTCAAGTTGCGGAGACTTAAGCAAGGATTAAAGGAGTGGAACAAAGCCGTCTTTGGCAACGTTTTCAGCAATTTTGAAGCAGCAGAAAAGGATGTTCTGGTCAAGGAAGAAGTGGATAGATCAGCTCTCCATAAAGCTGAAGCAGATAATGGGGGCAGAAGCGGATAGGTCATTTGATAATGGGGGCAGAAG